CATGTGTCACCCCTTTACTGGCTCTGTAGGCCGGTTGTGCTCTGAGTATGACAAAACAAAAAAACGCAATGCATATGAGGGCACCATGGTTTGCTGTGCGACGGGTGCCTGCAGAACGATCGTGGGCAGCTCGCCAGTGCGCAGATCCGCGAATCGGGAGAGGGTCCAACAACGCATCGTTGAGTTGCACGACGGGTCGCCAGCAACACGTCGCCGACTGGCGCCTATGCCGCCTCCCAGTTCAACGCCTTCGCCGACGACCCGACACCGAGCACGACCCTGTCCGACAAGCGTCGGCACCAGTATCGCGACAAACATCATCACATGCCACAAGCGTCGGTTCCGATTGCATGTCCCGCTCCTGCTTCGAGTCTGATTTTTGCGCCGGCCCCAGTCCCGACCCCGGATCCGACTCCAGCTCTGGTTCCCCTCCCGACGCCAGTTCCGGATTCGTCCACAGGCCAGCCCCGATTCCAGCGCCCTACATCTGGCATCAGCATCGGAGTTGGCATGTCAATCGGGACGCTGGCACGACGCTGAGTAGAATGATGGTGAGGTGCATCGCGAATCAGACAGTCATCATGGGCAGGTCTTGTGTAGGGCTTCCTGGCCTGGAGCAGCCCGGCGGGTCCCCGCAGCGCGGCAGCAATCGCGGATCCAGCATTTTGTGTTCTCGCGCATGGCGGACTGAAGGGTGCCCAGGCAGTGGGCGCCCGTGCATTCGTCAGCCTGCCTCTTGTCCTCCTCCTTGTGCTTGTTTTTTACTTCGCGATCGGGTTTCGCTGTTTTGCATCAGGGAGGTCGGCTGGTTCCTCCCTGGCCGCTCAAAACCCAGTGTGCCGCACCCCATTTGGTGTCGTTCCTGGCTCGCGCGGACACTGCGTCCTGGCGGCAAGGTCGGACGATGGGCGTCCCGACCCTTTTCACACGGTCCTTAGAAGTATTACTTTACTTGCTTTATATGTCTGCTCTGTGCTGTTTCCTTTTCTCTTCGTCTCTGCATTCCCCTCCCCTCCCGCTCATGCGGAACAGTCCTGCGGGCGACTCCAGCGAAGTCTGGGTCAGCCAATCCATGCACGGGTTGTTTACCCATTTCTTTTCGTCGGCCCCTGCCCCCTCCTTGCTCTATTTCTTCCGTTGGTCTGCTGGCGCGAAAGATACCACTGGCCGTGGCACCAGCTGGCGCGCGTACTCGCTGTGCGTTTGTAGTGTTCGCATTGTCCCCTTTTCGTTGAAGGGTTTCCATTCGTGCCTCAGCTTGGCCCAACGCTCCTTTGTGCCGCTGGCCAGGCTTCTTCTTGCTTTCCCCTCCTCTCCTTTCCTCCCCCCTCGGGCCGTCTCGTTTCTCTGCCCCGCCGCCTCATCGTTGCACTGCTTGCAGTGGTCCATAGTACGCATGGGCGGCCCCCTCGTCTTCGCAGCGCGGCGGCCGTCATGCTATCCTTTGTCTTTCGCTGTAGCGCAGCTTCGCTGTCTTGTTTTGGAGTGTAGGTCGAGGTGGTAATATACTTTGCGGTGAAGCAACCATCCGTTCGTCTTCCTTCCCTTACTGCCCCAAATCCTATCGTGTATGGTCCAACTGATGGAACATCTGCGTCTGCACAATCCGATGTTACCTAACAGCGAAGACTGATAGGTTTCTAGTGGTCTCAAAAGAGAGCATCATGACTCCCCAGGGGGGTCTGGGCAGATGCCGGACGGGTGCCGCGGGAATCCGGGGACTGCCGCGGGAATCCGGGGAATCCTTTTTTAGCCAACAGTAACGCACTTCGTGGTCTTTCGAGTTCCCAGAACTCCATTCCTGGGCATGATTTTGAATGCCCGGAACCAACTGTAGGCCACTTCGTGGCCTTCGAGTTCCCAGAACTCCATTCCTGGGCATGATTTGGAATGCCCAGAGCCAACTGTATATAGGCCACTTCGTGGTCTTCGAGTTCCCAGAACTCCATTCCTGGGCATGATTTTGAATGCCCAGAGCCAGCTGTAGGCCACTTCGTGGTCTTCGAGTTCCCAGAACTCCATTTCTGGGCATGATTTTGAATGCCCGGAGCCAACTGTAGGCCACTTCGTGTTCTTCGAGTTCCCAGAACTCCATTCCCGGGCCACATTTTGAATGCTGAGGCAGGCTGATGCTGAGGCTGAGGCAGGCTGAGGCTGAGGCAGGCTGAGGCTGAGGCCGAGGCTGAAGGCAGACTGAGGCTGAGGCTGAAGCAGGCTGAGGCTGAGGCTGAGGCAGGCTGAGGCTGAGGCTGAGGCAGGCTGATGCTGAAGGCTGAGGCTGAGGCTGAGGCTGAGGCTGAGGCCGAGGCTGAAGGCAGACTGAGGCTGAGGCTGAAGCAGGCTGAGGCTGAGGCTGAGGCAGGCTGAGGCTGAGGCTGAGGCAGGCTGATGCTGAGGCAGGCTGAGGCTGAGGCTGAGGCTGATGCAGGCTGAGGCTGAGGCAGGCTGAGGCTGAGGCCGAGGCTGAAGGCAGACTGAGGCTGAGGCTGAAGCAGGCTGAGGCTGAGGCTGAGGCAGGCTGAGGCTGAGGCTGAGGCAGGCTGATGCTGAGGCAGGCTGAGGCTGAGGCTGATGCAGGCTGAGGCTGAGGCAGGCTGAGGCTGAGGCCTGAGGCTGAGGCAGACTGAGGCTGAAGGCTGAAGCTGAGGCTGAGGCTGAGGCTGAGGCAGGCTGAGGCTGAGGCTGAGGCTGAGGCTGAGGCTGAGGCTGAGGCTGAGGCAGGCTGAGCTGAGGCAGGCTGAGGCTGAGGCTGAGGCTGAGCAGGCTGAGGCTGAGGCAGGCTGAGGCTGAGGCTGAGGCTGAGGCCGAGGCTGAAGGCAGACTGAGGCTGAGGCTGAAGCAGGCTGAGGCTGAGGCTGAGGCAGGCTGAGGCTGAGGCAGGCTGATGCTGAGGCTGGCTGAGGCTGAGGCTGAGGCTGATGCAGGCTGAGGCTGAGGCAGGCTGAGGCTGAGGCCGAGGCTGAAGGCAGACTGAGGCTGAGGCTGAAGCAGGCTGAGGCTGAGGCTGAGGCAGGCTGAGGCTGAGGCTGAGGCAGGCTGATGCTGAGGCAGGCTGAGGCTGAGGCTGAGGCTGATGCAGGCTGAGGCTGAGGCAGGCTGAGGCTGAGGCCGAGGCTGAGGCAGACTGAGGCTGAGGCTGAAGCAGGCTGAGGCTGAGGCTGAGGCAGGCTGAGGCTGAGGCTGAGGCTGAGGCAGGCTGAGGCTGAGGCTGAGGCTGATGCAGGCTGAGGCTGAGGCAGGCTGAGGCTGAGGCCGAGGCTGAAGGCAGACTGAGGCTGAGGCTGAAGCAGGCTGAGGCTGAGGCAGAGGCAGGCTGAGGCTGAGGCTGAGGCAGGCTGATGCTGAGGCAGGCTGAGGCTGAGGCTGAGGCTGATGCAGGCTGAGGCTGAGGCAGGCTGAGGCTGAGGCCGAGGCTGAAGGCAGACTGAGGCTGAGGCTGAAGCAGGCTGAGGCTGAGGCTGAGGCAGGCTGAGGCTGAGGCAGGCTGAGGCTGAGGCTGAGGCAGGCTGAGGCTGAGGTTGTGACTGCGACTGCCGTTGCCACTGCGACTGTCATCGCGAATGCTACTACGACTGCGAGAACAGCATAATTCTACAACTGGATTCTCATCTGAATCTTAAGAGGAATGCTCTCAGATATGCTCCTACGCATCGCTGTTAGGTCGCTTTGCCGGGATATTTTTTTTGAAAGGGCTGGGGGCCGCAGCCCCCCAAGCGAAGTTCGGTCTTTGTGGACTTCTCGGCGCTCCTGCAGGACGTCTCCTCTGCTTTCCTGGCCTCCTGGACGTCCTTGCTGGACTTCGAGAACAGATCCAGGGCGGTCAGGAGGGCGGCCAGATGGCCTCGCGAGAGCCCAAAGCGAGCTCACACACCCCCAACACGCTTGAAGACGGACCCAAAGAAAACACCCAAGAGGCCATCCAACCGCGCAACGCATTGCTTTGGCATGTGCTTGCATGGTGCTGGGATCCGGACTTCCAAGGCCGCCTGAGAGAAGATACCATGACAATCATACATGAACGTGCCAACATCGCATCCAGGAAATCCAACGGGGCCCCAAGACGGCCCAACAGGGCCCCCAAACTGCCCGAAGAGATTCCCATGACTGCCCAAGATGGCCACAAGACGCACTCATAGCCTTGCAACTCGTGGCGCGATCGTTGAGGGAGGCCGTGGTTGGCAGCAATGGGGCCCCAAGAAAACATCGGATGTCCCCAAAACGCGCCTGGTAAGCTGCCAGAGGCCCCCAAAGAAGCTTGCGCGGACGTGCTTCCGCGCAACAAAGCAACAGGGAGGCACGGGGAGGATTCGCAGCGAAGGGCCACAACGAGAAAAGGGGATAACACATAGCAATAGAGAAGCGGGGAGGAAGAGGAGGAACATATTGACGAATACGAAAGCGGGTTCATGGAGTTCAACGTGCAATCATTGTTTTCTTCCCTCTCTCCCTCTCTCTCTCTTTCATTCTGCCTGCATGCGAAAGAAATTTGAATGGCCAAGGTGCATAGGGCGAAGCGCCACTGGCAATCTCGGTTCACATCCAACTGGCTGTTTAGCAACTCGTGAGCCCACTATCGCAGATCGCCTTTCGCGCAGCTGCCAGGCTCATCGCTGTAGCTGATGGCGTTGAGGTTTTCACGGTGATTTTTCCCGGGCGGCGGATGGGGGGCACCTGCGGCGGGTCAGATTGCGGGAGTGGGGGCTGGAGCGGAAGACGGGGAGGGGGCGAGGGGCCAGGGGCGAGGAGTGGGGAAAGGGGCTGAGATTTTCCGGGCGCGGGAACTTGGGAGAGTACGGAGGGGCATGGGCAGACGCGGGGGTGGGTACGAGATCGGAGGCAGCAGTCGTGCAGCTGGTCGCTCACTTTCTTCGCACAGTGAGCCAGAGGTGGGCAGTTCTGCGTGCCAGCGTGCTACACAAGTTCGTACCAATCGAGGATCCAGTCAGGTGGTTCCTATGGGGCCCCGACGGTGCGAGTGTGAGCAAGAGGGGAGGGCGCAGGTGTCATATTCGACTACACCACTGGCGTGCAGCGCTTGCTGCAGGGGCATGTGAACCCCATCACAGCAACGGGGGTGTCCAAGGATCCCCGAGTAGCTGTTGCTTATATTGCTTGTTTGCTAGTGGCGCGTGCCCTTCGACCGCATCGAAGCAATACCCTTGCCATAATGCAAGCAGTACTGTCTTCCGAGCTGTCGATTCCACCAGATCCGGTTTTTGTGTTCTCCTTGTGTGCGCCTCGTGTTGTTGGTTCGAAAGAGTATAGACGCAGCGTTATTTCTTTTGTCGAGCTAATTCTCTTTCTTCCATGTCTGGCTGTCAGCAGTATGCGTGGCACGCTGGCATTCTGCTTAGTATTAGAACGCAGGCGCGTCCTTCACACGTGACGTTCGCAAACGAAGTGGTTGAATCTTGACGCGTTTGGTTGCCTCCCGCGTCGGGCAGTACGAGCAAGTAAGCAATTTACCTTGACATGCGCAGTGGGCAAGCCCGTGTGCCAGAGCAAGAAGTGTGCAACGGGGGCTACGACGTAGGGGGTCGCTCTGATTGGAACGCTTGGGAATAATTCGAACGGCTTGCTCGCAACCCGCTCCCTTTGCGTATCGTCATTGCAACAAGTTCATGATCATCTAATTTGGTGTCCAGTCTGTTCTCACGTACTATTTCGCGTGGTGGCCCCTCGATTCCCCCTCTTGGGTCAGAAGGTGGCTACTCGTAGTCTAATAGGTGAAGTGCCACCTGTGCTCAGTATCAGCCTCGTTCAGTGTGCCGCCAGCGTGCTGCGAGAGAGGTGGCCTGATGCCCTCCGTTGCGTTGGCCGCGCGGAGGGGCGCGGCATTAGGCTGAAGGGTTGAGTGATGTTGCGCAGCTCACGACGGACTCTCAGGCACCGTCTGTGCTGCATCGCCGCCTTCCTTGGAATAGGCTGGCATATGCACCAAGCGACTTTGCCATGCGCAGACGTCGCGCCCTAGCATATTTTTCTGGTCTCCATTCCTGCATTCTTACCTCGTTCCCCGTCCCTCATCACTTCCCAGCCGCCTTCGAGCTCCTGGCATGCGTCGTCAGTGATCTGTTTTCTGCTGGCTGCTTGGAGGCAGCGCCACCAGGCAGAGCCCCTCCGCTTATCCCCCTCCGACCGCCCTTGGACGAAGGGCATGCAGCCATCGTTGGTGCTTCGTTTATTTGGTAGCTGCATGGTGTCGCAGGCAAGGCAGTGCAGTGTGTGTGTGTGTGTGTGTGTGTGTGTTTGTGTGCGTGCGTGCGTGCGTGCGTGTGTGTGTGTGTGTGTGTGTGTGTGTGTGTGTGTGTACGTGTATCTGTGTCTTCGTCTGTGTCTGTGAGTAGTGTTGGTATTCAGGCTACCGCCCTCCCCCACAGGATTCCCAACTTCTTTCCGGTGTTTTCTTTGGTGGTCACTTTTGTAAATGTTGGTATACTTCTGATGCCTCTTCGTAATCTTCTCGTTCTTCAGCCGATTATTGTTCATTTTGTGCCCGCGCAGCACTCCACCACGCTGTGTGTGTATAGGGGCTTTACGTGGCAAGCAGACAGGCGGCTTCTCAAGGAAAGATGCCTTCTGATATTGCGAAGGTGGGATGGGGGTCGCAGGGGATGGAAGGGGCGCTTGTGGGAGTTGGAGGGCGGCACGTTGACAGGGGCGGAGAATTGGGCGGTCAGGCTATTTTTCCCAACCGTCCTTGGGCGGGGGTCTCCGTGTTCAAAAGAGCATTGCTGCTCCCGCCTCCCACCTCCCGCCTCCCGCCTCCTTCCCACCTCCTCCTGTCTCCTCCTCTCCTGTCCTCTCCTGTCTCCTACCTCCCACCTCCTCGCCTCTTGAGCGCTGGCAGCTGCTGCGAACTGCGTAACCGTCTGCTCTTGGGTGGGCCCCTGGGAGGTCCAGTGGAGTGGTGTCTTACACAGATCTAGGTCGGCACCAGCGGGGCGACGTCTTACAGTGGCTCAAGTAGACTTTGCCGCGCTGGGTGCTGCCAACTGCGCAGAGATCGCCACTCCTGCGAGATCCCTGGGATGCGACGTCTGAAAGGGATCCAAACTAGACCTCCCTTCCCTGGGTGGTACCATCTGCGCAACTGTCGCCTCTTTCGTGGGCTCCTGCGAGGTTCAGCTGAACGATGTCTTAACGGCATCCAAGCGGTTCCCCTTCTTCTTCTGGTTGGTGCCAACTGCGCAACTGCCGTAACTTTCGTGAGCCTCCAGGCGGATGCGGTTTGATTCGGATCCACACTATTGCTGCACGTCCCGGCTGCTTTCATATTTTCCTTACAGGGTATCCTTAGCTGTGCAGCTGACCTCGTTTTCGTGAGCTTGTGTGAGCTCTTTCGATCTCTGCCCCATCTGCGGGCTGAGGGAAGCGGGGGCGGACTTGGTGTGGCGCCGTTGCCCTGGTGTGGCTCCTCCTGCGCCCGCCCAGCGCCCAGACCCACTTCACCGACGCCGTTCGGCGGCCTGGCGAGCACGCTCCCTCGCTCGCAAGGATCGTCCACCAGATCGCCCACCTACATGCCGTCACAATCGCGCACCGGCCCCTGACCCCAGAGACGGCGGCCAGCGGCGCGGGCTATCTGCGCGGCCGTCGCTTCCTCGCCAAACGCCGTCGCTTCCTCGCCAAACGATCCTGACAAAGATACCAGTGATGACCCACACGGCCTCGCCATCGGTGAAGACCAGCAAGCGCAGGTCTGTGAAGCCTCACAGCCCCCTGCGCGGGCTGCCTACCCTCCGCACCTCCACCCCTTCGCAGCAGCGCGCTGGCTGCCACCGACATGCAGGCGGCTCGTGGAGGCGACCAACCCTCGTTACGCGTTCATCGCCCCGCACGGATGCCACGGGCCTGCTGTCCTTCTCGCCCTTCGCGCCGAGGCTCCAGGGGCAGGCTGGCTCGTGCCAGGCCGCGGCTGAGTGCCCGCACCCCGCCTTGCCCTGGCGCCAGAAGCCAACGCCGAGCGCCGGCGTTCTACAAACTTCTAGCCAGCCTTCTGTGGCACCGTCTACAACAGGCAGGTGGTGAAGATTGGCTGTCGCAAACTCACTGCGGCTTCCGCTGTGGGAGAGGCACAGCATATGCTGTTCACGCAGAACGAAGGCATATCGAGCTCGTGCACGCCAGGAAAGATGGTGGGACTACCTTTGTTGCGCTGGACTGGAAAAATATCCGATTCCATAGACGCCGAAGCTTTGCTGGCAGCTCTGCGCCGTTGTGGAGTAGCCCTGAACACGCTTACGCTGATCGGGCATATTTACGAGGCTAGACGATTTTGCGTGTCCGAGGCTAGACGATTTACGAGGCTAGACGATTTACGAGTCTTCTGACAAGGAAACCGATGTCCGGAATATGACAGGGGTGTCCTTTGTCGCTATTTCGTGTCGTTAGTTTCGTCATATTGATGGCTCTGGTCTTGCGAGACGCCAAGAAGAGCCTGCGCGACAATGACAAACATAAAATGGTTTCTGGAAGTCTTTCGGTGTTGCTGTACACCGGCGACACGCTGCCCCCCGCGCCCCGCTGCCCCCCGCGCCCCGCTGCGGCCTCGCCGCGTGAGTGCGCCTGCCCCCCCCTTTCCTTCCCCTCCGCGGCCGGCCCTCTTCTTTGCCTTTCTTTTTGCGTTTGGGACAATTCGCAATGCCGTGGCACTGCTTGCTTGGACGCGCGTGCGGACTAAATCTGCCGCGCTGCGACGCACTAAGTGCCATTCCGTGCGTCCCTGGAAGAGGATTTGTGCATTCCGTATGTGTTGTTTGTCGCTTCTCGTCGTGCCGCCTGCGTGTGGTTGTTGCTGATAGGTTCTCTTCTTCCTCGTCCTTTTGCGGGGGTCATGGGGGGCTTCGTGGAGGCCCAGGGAGCGGCCTTTCGGAGCGTTTGGGGCTTCTTTGGGGGCTTCTCGGGGGCCTCTTGGGGGAATGTGGGAGGTCTTGGGGGGATTCTTGTGGGAGGGGGCTCCTGGGGTCCCTGCGAGTTTCCCCTCTTGGCCCCCTCTTGGGCCCCTATTGAGGCCCTCTTTAAGGCAGTTTTGGTCGTCTTGGGGTCCTCTTGGGCCGTCTTCGGGCGATCGAAGGCCGTCTCCGCGTCTCCAGGCCTTTTTGGGTCCTCTCGGGCCTTTCTGGGCCGGTCTCGGAGGCCTCTTGGGCCGTCTTGAGGCTCTTGGGCCGTCGTGCGTTTTCAGAAGCCCGAAATGGCAAAAACACGCCAAACATTCAAACACCAATGGGGAGAATCGTTTTTCGCCTCTTGACGCCCTCTTGAGAGTCCTTGTGGGGCCCTCTGGGAGCGTCTTGGGCGTGTCTGGGGTCATCTTAGGGCGACCTAGAGTGTGCTCGAGGCCTCCCCGACGTGTTGGAGCCCTTCTTGAGCCGTCTTGGAACACATTATGTGTACGTAGGAAGCGATGGGGCGACGGAGGGTGGATCTAAGCGGCAGTCTGGAGCCTGGGAGAGGGGGGGAGGGGGAGGTGGGACAGCCACGTGTCTCGCACGTCTTGTCACCCCTGGCAAGTGGGTGTCGGCGGATAGATTATCATGTGTACTATGTCTGAGCATGGACGTCCACCAGTAAAGTCCGCATTGCCCTTTCCTCGTCTTCATTATCCTTCGCCACCTTCTTCTCCAGTTGCTGCTCATTCATTGATTTCTTCTGAAAGTGCTGCGCCTCTCTGAGCAGTTTTCGCCAGGACAAAAAGTGGATCGTCACTGCAGACACAGGCCCCTTGCTGCCTGGGCATCGCCATGAGCTGCCGCTTCCCCCCCATGATGCACATTCCGCTTGTGAGTGTAGATGGCACTTTGTGACCGGCTTCTTTGGCTTGCACGATGGCGAGTCGAATATTGCATGTAAGTATCGGAGGAATACTTGGTTGCCGTGGTGTCAATAAGCGGATAATGACCGATCCCACCGTAGGGGCCCAACTGCAAGAAGAAATTGCGGTACGCGGTCGAGTTTTGAAGCAGTGGTCCTACGGTTCAGCAGCAAGTACATGTCTGGGTAGGCATCGGAGACAGCCAGGTAGGCAGAGCAGGATGCCAAGGGCGAGGAGGAGGAGAAGGCAGAGGCCTTCTTCCAACTTGTGTTCCTCCTCTTTCTCATCCTTCCTCCGTCATCTCCTTCATGTATCTCCTCATCCATCCCTTCCTCCAGTGCCTTTTTCTACTTCGCCTCATCCTTCCCCTCCTCCATTTTCAGGGAGACAGGAGATGGTTACGTGAAAGCGGTCCTGGCGACGTTGACTTTCTGATACCGATGAGATTTGTTTGTTTTTCTTCTTGGTTTTAACATATTTTTGTTTATTCTCTTTTCTTTTCCTTGTTTGAATCATGGCGATCCGCTTGCATTCGAGAGCGCGCAGGCTCTGTAGGCCGTGTGGCGGAAAAGCTCGCCACCGCGCTCAATTGTCTGTGTCGCTCGGCGGCCAGCAACACCGCGCAGGCCTCACACGTGGGCGTAATGTCGGAAAAGATGGTAATGATGATGATGATGATGATGATGATGATGCTGATGATGATGATGATGATGCTGATGATGATACTGATGATGATGATGATGATGATGATGATGATGATGAGGATACTGATGATGCTGTTGATGATGATGATGATGACAATGATGATGACGATGATCATGATGATGATGCTGATGTTGGATGCTTCTGCTGATGATGCTGCTGCAGATTATGATGGTGATGATGATGATGAGGGTGGTGCTGATGATAAGGAGGATGATGATTAGGACGAGGATGAAGATGAGGATGAGGATTAGCATGATGATGGGGATGGGGATTGGGATGAGGATGAGTATGAGGATGATGATGGATGGCGATGAAGGATGCGATGACGATGCTGATGAGGATGAGGATGAAGATGCGGATGATACTGATGCTGATGATGATGATTCGGATGAAGATGATGATGATGATGATGATGATGATGATGATGATGATGATGAGGATGAGGATGAGGATACGGATGAGGATCATGATGATGATGATGCTGATTCTGCTGCTGATGATGATGATGATGATGATGACGCTTCTGCTGCTGATGATGATGACGACGATGACGATGAGGATGAGAATGAGGATGAGGGTGCGGATGATGATGTTGACGATGCTGCTGATGATGATCATGATGATGATGAAGACGCTGATGTACATGACGATGCTGATGATGTTGATGATGAGGATGAGGTTGAGGATGAGGATGAGGATGATGATGCTGACGATGATGATGTTGATGATGATGTCGATCATGATGATGATGATGATGATGATGATGATGATGATGATGATGATGATGATGATGATGATGATGTGGATGGAGCTGATGAGGAGGATGATGATGATGATGATGAGGATGAGGATGAAGATGAGGATGGGGTTGAGGATGAGGACGCGGATGAGGATGGGGATGGGGATGAGGACGAGGATGAGTATAATGAGGATGGATGGGGATGAATAAGGCAAAGACGATGCTGATGGGGATGAGAACGAGGCTGCGGATGATGATGGTGCTGATGCTGATCATTAGGATTACGATGATGAGGCTGCTGCTGCTGATGATGATGATGATGATGATGATGATGATGATGATGAGGATGAGGATGCAGATACGGATGAGGATGATGTTGAGGATGATGATGTTGAGGCTCCTGATGATGATGATGGATGCTTCTGCTGATGATGATGATGATGACGATGAGGATGAGGATGAGGATGAGGATGAGGATGCGGATGATGATGATGGATGCTGCTGCTGCTGATGCTGATGATGCTGACGCTGATGATGATGATGATGATGATGATGATGATGATGATGATGATGATGAGGACGCTGATGTAAATGACGATGATGCTGATGATACTGATCATTATGCTGATGATGATGGTGCCGATGTTGATGATGATGAGGATGGTGCGGATGATCAGGAGGAGGATGATGATGATGATGATGATGAGGATGACGATGAGGATGAGGATCAGGATGAGGATGAGGATGGGGATGGGGATGCGGATGAGGATGAGTATAATGATGCTGGGTGATGATGGTGATGATGACGACGATGATGACGATGATGATGATGATGATGATGCGGGTGCGGATGGAGAATGGGGTTGAGGATGAGGATGAGGATGGGGATGGGGATGAGGATGAGAATGAGCATACTGATGATGGATGGTGATGAAGAAGGCGGTGACGATGCTGATGAGAATGAGGACGAGGATGCGCGTGATGCGGCTGAACATTCTGATTACGATGACGATGATGGTGATGCTGCTGCTGATGATGATTAGGATGAGGATGAGGATGATGATGCTGATGCTGCTGATGCTGCTGATGATGATGATTATGATGGATGCTGCTGCTGATGATGATGCTGACGATGACGTTGATGACGAGGATGAGGATGAAGATGTGGATGATGATGATGATGACGATGACGATGCTGCTGATGATGATGATTATTTGGACGCTGATGTAAATGACGATGATGCTTATGTTGATGATGATGAAGATGATGTTGAGGATGATGATGATGCTGATGATGACGATGATGATGCTGATGCCGATTATGATGATGATGATGAGGATGGTGCTGACGATGCGGAGGATGATGACGATGATGAGGATGGAGATATGGATGATGATAATGAGGATGGGGATGGGGATGGGGACGCCGAGGAGGATGAGTATGAGGATGATGAATGATGATGAAGAAGGCGATGACGATGCTGATTTGGACGATGATGAGGATGCGGATGATGATGATGCTGATTACGATGGCGATTCGGATGACGATGATGACGATGATGACGACGATGATGATGCTAATGCTGATGATGACAATGATGAGGATGAGGATGAGGATGAGGATGCGGAGGATGCTGGTGATGCTGATGCTGGTAATGATGATGATACTGGATGCTGCTGCTGATGACGATGATGATGATGACGATGAGGACGAGGATGACGATGAGGATGTGGATGGTGATGATGTCGATGCTGCTGATGATGCTACTGATGATGAGGACGTTGACGTAAATGACGATGAATCTGATATTGATGATGAGGATGAGGTTGAGGATGCTGATGAGGATGATGATGATGCTGATGCTGATGCCGATTGTGATGATGATGATGATGATGATGATGATGAGGGTTGTGCTGATGATGAGGATGATGATGAGGCTGATAAGGAAGATGAGGATGATGACTAGGATGAGGATGAGGATGCGGATGGGATGGTGATGAGGAAGAGGATGAGTCTAATGATAATGTGTGATGATGAAGATGGCGATGACGATACTGCTGATGAGGAATGCGCGGATGCGGATGATGATGATGCTGCTGAGGATAATGATGATTAGTATGACGATGATGATTCTGCTGATGATGATTAGGATGAGGATGCGGATGAGGCTGATGATGCTGCTGATGATGATGGATGCTGCTGCTGCTGATGATGTTGACGATGCCGATGACGATGCTGATGAGTTTGAGGATGAGGATGAGGCTGAGGATGCGGATGATGATGATGATGCTGATGATGATGATGATGATGATGATGATGATGACGACGCTGCTGCTGATGATGATGATGATGCTGATGGTGATGACGCTGATGTAGATGACGATGCTGATGTTGCTGATGATGATAATGAGGTTGAGGATGGTGATGATGATTCTGACGATGCTAATGATGATGACGGATGCTGCTTCTGCTGATGATGGTAATGATTATAAGGATGTGGATGATACTGATGCTGATGATGACAATGACGACGATGCTGATGGCGATTGATGATGAGGGTGAGGATGAGCATGAGGATGATAATGATGTTGCTGACGATGATTATGTATGCTGCTACTGCTGATGATGATGACGGTGATGATGGACGCTGCTGCTGATGATGATGACGCTGCTGATGATGATGATGACGATGATGATGATGATGATGCTGATGATGATGATGATTATGATGATGTATGCTGCTGCTGATGATGATGCTACTGCTGATGATAATGATGCTGATTATGCAGATGATGCTGCTGCTGCTGCTGATGGTACTGCTGATGAAGATGACGATGGATACTGCTGCTGATGATGCTGTTGCTGCTGATGATGATGGTTTGGATGGATGGATGCTGCTGCTGATGATACGGATGCTGCTGATGACGATGATGAATGCTGCTGCTGCTGATGCCACCGATGCTGCTGATGACGATGATGAATGCTGCTGCTGCTGATGATGATGCTCCTAATGATGATGATGATGATGATGATGATGATGCTGATGATGATGATGATGATGAGGTGTGGATGCTGCTGCTGCTGATACTCATGATACTGATGCTGATGCTGATGATGATGATGCTGATCATGCTGCTGATGATGACGATGCTGCTTTTGTCGATGATGATGCTGCTGGTGATGATGATGATAATGCTGATGATGAGAAGGTGGATGCTGCTGCTGCTGCTGTTGATGCTGCTGCTGCTGATTGTGAGGATGATGAAGATGGCTGCTCTTTCTGCTGCTGGTGATGATGAGGATGACGACGAGGACGATACTGATGATGATGCTGCTGCTAATGATGATGATGATGATGATGGATGCTGCTGCTGATGATGATGCTGCTGCTGAGGCTAATGATGATGAGTGCTGCTGCTCATGATGATGATGCCGCTGCTGATGCTGAGGCTGATGATGCTGCTGATGATGATGCTGATGATGATGGATGATGCCACTGATGATGATGGTGATGATGCTCATGCTGATGATGATGATGATGATGATGAGGTTGCTGATGATGATGATGATGATGATGGATGCTGCTGATGATGATGCTGATGCTGATGATACTTGCTACTGATGATGCTGATGGATGCTGCTGCGGCTGCTGATGATTATGTTGCTGATGATAATGGTGATGCTGCTGATGATGATGCTGACGATGCTGATGATTGTGATGGCGCTGATGCTGATGATGATGGATGATACTGATGCTGGTGAGGATGAGGATGATGATGTGGATGATGATGATGTATTCTGCTGCTGATGGTGATGCTGATGATGCTGATGATGATGGATGCTGGTGATGATGATGGATGCTGCTGCTGATGATGATGGTGATGACGATGATGATGCTTCTGCTGATGATGCTGCTGCCAATGCTGATAATGCTGATGGTGATGATGAAGGCGGCTGCTGCTGCTGATGATGATGACGACGATGCTGGTGACGATGATGCTGCTGCTGCTGATGATGATAATGGCTGTTGCTGCTGCTGCTGATGATGCTGATGATGATGCTGGAGCTACTGACGATGATGCTGATGATGATTGATGCTGCTGCGCCTGCTGCTGATGATGATGCTGATGATGACGATGATGCTGATGATGATTGATGCTGCTGCTCCTGCTGATGATGATGATGCTGATGCTGATGATGATGATGGCGATGATGATGATGAAGATGATGGAAGCTGCTGCTGCTCCCGATGATGCTGCTGCTGCTGATGATGATGATGATAATGATGATGACGACGCTGACGATGACGACCATGATGGATGCTGCTGATGCTGTTTATGATGGTGCTGCTGCTGATGATGATGATGATGGATGCTGCTGCTGATGATGATGCTGATGATGTTGCTGATGATGGTGATGAAGATGGATATTGTTGCTGGTGCTGGTGATAATGATCATACTGATGATGATACTGATGATGATGATGATGATGATGATGATGATGATGAGGATGAGGATGATGATGAGGATGATGATGATGCTGATGATCATGATGATGATGCTGCTGATGATGATGATGATGATGATTATGGATGCTGCTGCGGCTCCTTATGCTGCTGATGATGCTGATGATGCTGCGGCTGATACCGATGATGATGATGATGCTGATGCTGATGCTGATGATGATGCTGATGCTGATGCTGATGCTGATGCTGATGCTGATGCTGCTGATGATGATGATGATGATGATGATGATGATGATGATGATGATGATGGATGCTGCTGCTGCTGATGCTGATGATGATGATGATGATGGTTGGCATCACGGTAATGACCCGACCTCGACATCCGTCCGTTGCTCGTAGGCTTTTTGGTTCAAAGCAGAACCTTTGCGGAGGCGTTCGCCTCCCCTCTCACCGCACTCTGCAGTCCGTGAGTTGTCCTTGATTCTCGCGTCCCTGTAGCCACGCCCTGTCGATTGCCTGTGCGAGGCGCCTGTGCCCGAGGCCGTCGTGTCGGGCGAGGGCTGCCTGCTGACCGAGCGGGTAGGCGAGCCGACCCAGTGTGTCATCCGTGCGATCGCCATTGCACTACATCGGCGTCGGGCAGCTGGAGCGTGATCTGGTGGTGCTTCCTGCTTCTGCCGGTCGATGGGGTGGCCGTCGTCGTGGGTGTCTGCTTCGGCCTGGGGTTCGACCGCACCATCCCCTCTGGGGTCAAGCTCAAGCCGCTGATCTTCGAGTCTGGGGGTGGCGACGCCGCAGTGGGCGCGCGCGCTGAAGGCCGGCGACCGGGTCCGCATCTGCTACTACCAGGACGAGGACGAGACGGCGGTGGAGTTGCATGAGCGCTGGTTGGTGGTGCACGTCAGTGGCACGAAGTGGGTTGTCATCTCGAATGACTTCGACACTTTTGAGGAGGACGACGACAGGGATAAGTGTTTCGTGCCTGAGGCGCGGGGCTCGGTGTCTCGTGGCTCGTTCCAGAACGCGGACTTGGGCAAGATGCTTGCGTAGCCGCCCCGACAGGTGCGTGTTCGAGTTCAAGGACGGCGCCCTGCTGGCTGGCGGCTTGCAGGACGCGGCGGCGCAGGTCGTGACGGGCAGGCGTACCTTCCCAGCGAAGCAGACCAGCGGAAACGCTCCCGTCGTACTCCTACTGGCGCGCTGAGCCAGATGGAGCAGGTCGAGGTCGAGAAGGCCTGGGAGATCGAGGGTCCGTGCTGGAACTTCTTCGTGTGCGAGGGTAGCCAGGGGGGCAGCCAGGGGTCAGTGCGACGGCTCTACTGGTGGCGGTTTGTGCTGGGCCCAGCGGCGACCGATGTGGGGGTGGACGAGGACTTGCTGCTATCCCAGCTCGGTGTGGCCTTTCTCACGATGGATCGGGTTCAGACGTGCGACCTGGCGACGTTTGAGCTGTGCAGTCTACGCTGCCAGATGTGCGAGAGCGCGTACGCGGACCTGCTGCGCGAGGTGGACACGGCGACCGCACGTGGGGATGACTTGTTGAGTGAGCGGTCCCTCGTTTTCGGTGTCAAAAATCTTCGTAGCAACACCATCGTCACGGCAAGGTTCGAGGACCACGTGACGATGGAGCTCGCGGTGCGGGCTGCAGTGCCGAGGGAGTGCCGCAAGGCGCGTGAGGAGGCCGCCCTGTCGAAGGGCTCGGAGCTGTCGACCGCCCTCGCTGCCGTTGCGATGCAGGGCGCCAAGGGCTCCGAGGGAGAGACGGCCTGGCGGTCTTGCTCCTCTCTGTCTTGTACCGCCGCGGAGAGGGTCGCCTCGCCTCTCCGAGGGCTACATTTTCGGGGTTCAGGGTTCGGCGTGTGGGAGCCGTCCGGATGTGTTTTTAATTTCGCAGCATGTGGCAGCGGGATGTGCTTCCCATCTCCTTGGCGGCCGCCTCGGAGGTCTGCCTGGGCGGGGCCTGGGGCCTGGGGCTGTCGCAAAGTCAGCGACGCCAGCTTCGTCGTCGCCGAGCGCAGGAGGGATGGTTGTTCGTGGGCACTCGCGCTCTGAACGAGTTGGGTGCTCCAGATCCGCCGTCGTCCACTCCAGCATCTTTGACTTCTGCTCTGGTCTCGGCGTCTCGGTATCTCGCTCGGCAGTATGGGTCGGTGTCGCCGCCGCCAGCTGACTGGGGGGGGGGGGCGCCCTGGGAGCGCGGCAGGCGCTCCAGGGGACGCGGCCCGGCTACGCGGATGAAGCGTTGGCCGTCGGTGCTCGAGCGAACTATGAGCGTGGGAAGGTGTCTCTCCCCGCCGGGCGTTCGGGGCGGGTGTCCGTGACTGGATGCTTCCCCTCGGCCTCGCAGCGCGCTTGTAGACCAGCCAATCTTCTCTACGGGGAGGGCCGCCACTCGCCGTCGAGATCTTGATGGCAGCCTCTTCCTTGACCCTGCTCTCCAGGATGATCCCAAACTTTCTGGAGAGTTCGTTCCCGAGCTCTGGGAGGCTGGGCGTTCTCGAGGCCAGTGAGGACATGCTCGAAGAAATGACATCTTTTCGTTCGAAAAAAAACAGCCGCACTTCGCCTGATTTGGAATGCTCGCGTGCTGAAGCTACGCTTCAGAACTCCGCCTGGGGTCGTTCTTCCCTCGGGCGAGGCTCTCCCGCCCACTTGGAGCGCCGGCCTCGCGTGATCCCCGTGCTTCACGGGGGCGACGTAGATGTCGGTTGATATCAGTTCGAGCTTCCTGCTCATTTTTTTTTTGCCGGGCTTCCGCTCGTGCCCGCGCCCCGCCTTCCCCCGGCCTTCGTCGCCTCTCTGCCGGGCGCGGTTCGCGTTCGGGGTTCGGCCAGTTGTCGGGCTCGCGTGGTGCCGACGGGGTGGAATTGTGCGCTCGCCCTCGTTCAACATGCTAACCGGCGCTTGCTGGGTAGTGTCTTCCTGGGGCCCAGTGGATTCTAGACAGAATTCCTCTCGCGCCTCTTGGCGACGTGGGGTCGCTGCGCGGGTTGTAGATCGACAACTTCGCGTGCCTGGCCAAGACTGCGCCCGCCCCCTCGGGCGCGGTCCTGGGCGCGCAGTCTGCGTTGAGGCCCCGCTGGGTCACTTCGTCGTTTGGGGCGCCAGGGCTGGGGGGCCACGCCTTCATCGGGTTCGCTCTCTTGGGGGTCCAGCGGGAGTGGCGGCGCAAGGCGAGCCGCTGCTGGAAGCTCAAGCTGGCGAGTGACTACCTTCTGGGTTCGGCGGTCGGGGTTGCGGGCCAGGGGCTGAAGCGTTTCGCGGGCCACGTCGCGGCCCTGTTCCCCTTGGCCCCAGAGCTGGTGTGTCTCGTGGAGAAGGTTTGCGTTTTCGTCCACGAGAGCTATACTCGGCGTCGGCCCCTCTGGCCTTTTGTGCTTCGCGAGGCCCGCTGGATTCGTGCTCTGCTTCCCCCGGCGCGCGCGCGTGTGCGACGGCCCTGGACAGGGCGGGCGTTTGGCTGCGATGCGCCTCCCTGGGGCTTTGGTGTGGGTGCGTGTGCGCTGTGATCCTGGCGCCGTCGCGGCCGTCGGTCGGGCGCGAGAGCGAGCTCGTCTTCGCGGCCATCTCAGTTGTTCTGATGCACCCTGTTGCCGAGCTCTGGACCACCAGGAGGAGTGAGTTTCGGGAGCTTCTGCGACCGCGATACCGGGGCTGGGCCGCGTTCGGGGATTCGGAGAGGTTCCGGCCAGCTCTCTCGCCCAGGACTGGAGCGTTGCCCGCGCGGGTGGCTGGAGGGGCGTCCCAGGGTCGTAGGTGCATCTGGAGGCCCGTGCTCGGACGTGGACTGCGCGGCACCTCGCTCGGGGCTGCAGCGTTCGCGACGCCCGCGTGCTGCTGCTGGGAGATATGTGTTCGCGCCAAAGGACGGTCTTCGACTTCCGCCATGATTTCTCAGTGTATTGTGTCTGTTGCCTTCTCCTTAGCCGTCGGGCTCAAACTCGTGGATCGGTGGGCCCCACCCGCGCGGAACGCCCTGGGCGCTGCTAGTCGTGTTCACCAGCCGCGTCGCGGTGGCAAGGCGACGGGCGAGGTCGAAGTCCGCTGCGGGCTTCCCGCCGGCAGCGCGGCTGCGGCTCATGGCCTCCCCCGACTCCGACGTCGCGGACGTTGCGGACCCGGGCTGCTTCGACAGCTTGCCCCCCCCCCGCGGCCCTTGAGGCCGCAGCCGCGGACGCAGCGGGGGCGCTGGGCCGAGCGCCCCGTCGGGCTCCTGGCCCGTCCGCGGCGGTGGAAGGCAGCGGGTCTTCCGCTTTGGCCGCTTTGGCCGGGCCGCCCTCCCGGGCTCGAGTCGCTGGGCGAGGCTCTGCTAGTCGGCGTGGCTACGGGTGATGCTGCTGGCGCCTCTCCTCGGCGTCTTGCAGCTGGGTCGGGGCTCCACCTTGGCCGACGTCCGCCTCTCGCCCGGTCGGGGGCGCTGCGGGGCGGGCTCGACCGCCGCCGCCCGCCTGCGCCCGCCCCGCAGGTCCCGGAGGGCGGTCGGGGTCGGGGCGGGCGCCTGATCGACGTCTGCTCGCGGGAGTCGTGCCTGTCCTTCGCGGATGCCGTGGGCGGGCTGGAGGTCTCCCTCGGTCGCGTCGGCGCTGCGCGCGCTGGGGCGCAAGGGCGCCGGCCTCGACCGCCTCGTGCAGGTGCGCTCCCTCTCCGAAGTGCAGCCGCGCAAGCGTTGGCCGAGCTTCCGCAGCATCGCTCGCTGCGACGAGCACGCGCAGGGCTCCTGGCCTCTCGGCAGGTTCCCCGAGGCGGTCCAGGCAGCGATCGCGAGGATCGTGGAGCGAGGTGGCTGGCCCTTCGCCGTGCGCTGCACGCAGCCCTGGCGCTGCCGCAGCCGTGTGGGCGGAAGGTCTTCATAGAGCTGTTCTCGGGATCTGGCGCCTTAGGCAAGGCGTTGGCCAATTGTGCGCAGCCGCATCGCTGTTCAACGTGGCCGGCTCCTCCATCTGGTGTGGCCACCGTTGGCTGTTCAGTCGCTTGGAGGGTCAGAAGATCTCAGTGCTCAGCCGCTTCGCATGTCCACGCGTTTCACCCCCCCCCCCCTCCCCCTGGGCCTGCGCCCAGCTGCCTTCGGGCTGCCTCCCCCCCAGCTGCTGCCCCGGCGCCGCCGCTGGCCCCCCCCCCCCCCCGGCGCTCGCCCTGCCGCCGCCGGGAATTGCCTGAGTGTGCCCAGCTTCCTCTCCACCCCGCCCGCCCCGCGCTGGGCTTCCTCTTTAATTCTCGTGTGCAACCCGGCCCAATTTGCATTTTGCGCGCCCCAGTGATGCCACGTCGTCGGAGCAGTAACCTCTACCCAGCCGCTGGCGCAAAAGTGTGTGTGTGTGTGTGTGTGTGTGTGTGTGTGTGTGTGTGTGTGTGTGTGTGTGTGGAGCGTCTTTCGGTTCCCCGCCAGAGCCATTGGGAAGCGAAGCGAATTCAATCAGATTTGTGCTACGCGCGAGGCGAAGGAGGCGCCGCGAGGCGAAGGAGGCGCAGCCCGTCTCAATGCGTCTTTTGGAGGTGGGCGAGCGTCACTTCGCCCGCCCCGTCGTTCGCCTGGCGTTCCGCTGGACTCCGCTGAATGCTCCGACGAACGGTCTCTCGCGCCTGCGGTGAGTCGGACGCGGCTCCCGCCCCAGGGGGCGGAAGAGGACGAGGGAGCGGCCGAGGGAGAGGCGAGCAGCCCGCGGCTTCGTTGCATATGGCGCATGCCTGAAGCCGCGCTCGGGCAGGATGGAGGGTGGCCGTCCGCTTGTCGGCCTTTGCCGTCTCGTCATCCCTACCTCTCGCCTCCTCCCCGCCGCCCACGCCCGGGAATGTCCAGATGCTTCCTCCCAGCCGCGCAAGGCCCCGACAGCATGCTCGTGGTCTGGGAACGCGAGACGGGAACCCCGGTGAAGACGTTCTTCAACCCGCATCCGTACGGGGCGCGCAGCAGCTGTGTAGAAGTTGGGCGGGAGGAGTAGGCGCCAGATCAGGGGTTGGGTGAGGGGGGAGATGAGCAGGAGAAGGACCAGCAGGCGGCCAAGTCGTGCAACCGATGATGGGAGCACGGGCCAGCATTGGACCAAGCTCGCTTCACGGACACGTGCACGCATGAGGTCAGATTGGGCCGTGTCTACGCGAAGCGTGGCGAAACAAACGAAACTGTGGAGCAACCTCCAATGGCTCCCCAGTCTCGGGACGAAAGAGTAGGCGGCGGAGGAGGATGATGATGACGATGAGGATGAGGCGAAGCAGGGGACGCGATGTGAACTGCAGGAGGAGTCCGAGTTGTTGATATGGATGAGGCTTAGAATGAAGAAGAAAAGGGCTGACCTCGTCAGCGAAGAAGCCTTGCGTAAAGTCGATGGTAATGATGATCTTGCCTTGCACTTGACTGCATTCCTGTAACAGCGTGAATTGCTTTGCATAGCTTCGCATTGAATTTACATGGGTGCATCTTCTTCGATAGTACGTCTCTGCTCAGTCGTCGTTCTTGCTACTTGTTCAAGTCATGTTCAAGCAATTCCTGGGTACGTACACGCGCGCAGCTGTGAGATTGTCAGGGGCGGGGCTTGCCATTGCCTCAGAGCGAGCTGCGTATCGGTCTAGGATGGCTGCACGTGATCACGAATCAGTTGAGCCGGCCATCTCCACCTTCTGGAAAGACAGATTGCGGGACAAAGTCGAATATTGCAGAGGCGGGTGGTGGTCGAAGAGTTTCGCAGGCTGGAACTCTGAAGGTGCCTGCTTGATCATGCGCTCCTGTAAGCGCTGACGGTAATCAGTTTTTCCACGAGGTGAACGAGCCCGACGCCTTCCCAGGCGCGGGCGCAAGGCACCCCTCGCAGCGCTTCCTGCATCCTGCATCCTCCTCGTCGTTTTTCTCTCCTCTTCCTACTCTGGGGGTCTCGCTAGCTAATGCTCGCCTTTGCCCGAGGTGCACGCGCTCGACATCGCACCCAAGTCCCAGCACATCGCCACCCTTTCTGCGCCGGTGTCGCGCGCGGGTCAGTCAGTGGAGGGCTGTAGGGAGCGGGATGCGGAGACAGAAGGGAGAGTTTGGAGAAGAAGTAGGAGTTGGAGCATCAGTTTCCCGAGGAGGAGGAGGAGAAGGCGGATGACGAGGGTATGGAAGGGGATGAAGAAGAGGATGAGGATGATGAGCTTTTGACTTCGTCGGCAGACTGTGTCTCTAGTGCGCGGTTCATACTATGCAACCCGTGTGTTCGAGGCTTGACGGCTGGCCTGGCAGAACTCAAAGACATCATACTTAAGCATTCGCCGATTTTGTTGCATGGTGCTGCAGCTCTTGCGACCCGTTCGTGAAGCCCACTGTAGGCCCAGGGGAGTTTTATCGTGACGCTGGTCCACGGGCCAGCGCCAGCTTGCAGCCGGTCACATGGCAGCGAGGGCGAGGCGATGTGCGTTTGCACCACGAAGCTTGCACCACATAGCTTGCGCCACACAGCTTGCACCATGTCATCACTAGGCAGATTTTTATTCTCGCGTGGACTTCCACAATTTGCGCGTACGAGAGTCACGTCGATCTAATTTGCCGGTCGTCTGGATCCAACTGTTTGGCGTGGAAACCTCGTGGATGCAATTCCTTCCTGGGGTTCAACATGCAAGTCTATTGATCACGGATGACCCAAAAAAGAGTTGGATCGATGAGCCTTGGACTTGCATGCCACTGCTATGAGTGAGTGACTCTACAGGGGAGTGGTGCCTGGGATGCAACAGCATGCATGCATTTGTCATTCGATTAATGTTCGGGCGTCGCTGTGGCGCTGTGGGGAAACATCTCCAGCCTGTAGTTTCGTCCCCGCCGTACTTACTAGTTGGGTAACGTACTCTTTGCCGCTGGCTTGCAACGACGGTTGTCAACCAGCGATTGAGGCAGATAAACACCAGCTGCACAACAAGATGGGCCATGCTATTAAAGATCAAGATCCGCTGGAGGATCCACGCCGTGGAATTCAAAACGAAGAAAGTGGCATGGATGAAAGACGAGGTGATGCGTTACAAGGACGAGGTTAAGGAGGTAAAGGAAGGCGTGGAGGAGTACACGGAGGTGTGGAGGAATAAGAGAGGCATGGAGGACGAGTGAAGGAAACCAGCAAGCAGCGATGGGCTGATCATCGGAATATCGAAAGGAGGCACATTCGATTTCGTGGAGACTTTCCGTGGCAGCTCTGCGCGGCGTAAAGACGCAGCAACTGAATGGTCCGGCCTCTAATGCAGCAGAAATGCTCCGCGTCGTGTCGTGGAACGCTGCAGGGCAGAGCGAAGATAAGTTTCTGCACTTTCTTCTCAATCTTGCGGCTTTGGGTATAACTTGGGATGCCATTTGTGCCCATGAGGGTCTGGAGGGTAAAACAAACACTGTCGAGACTGTCACCAACGGGCATACTTGGTGCTTGGGGGCGAACGGTGGGAGGGACAGAAGTGCGACCATACTTGTCGTCAACGAATCCAGAACACATGATTTCGAAGGTTTTTATGTAATCGAGGGCGGAAGAGTTGTGTATACATACTCCGCGTCCGAGTCCAGTGGAAAATGGAGAACGGTGTCTGCGCACCTGCCTCATTCTGGCTATCACGATTCAGAGTGCAAGTCTTCTCCGGAATGACGCGTTCCCAGCATGCTGCAAGACGCGGAAAGTAGCCATTGGAGTCGATGCAAATGCGGGGGTCGGGCCACAAGAGGAATCAGACGACCCAGGCTGCATAGTTGGGCATCTTCTGGCTGGGAGCAAGGTCTCCCAAGGAGCACCTGTTTCTTGCGTGGGCCAGGGAACACAGACTGATCATCGCGAACGCATTATTTTGTAGGAGTGAAGAAAAATTATGGACACATCGCATGCGGAACACGCGAACGAAAAGGCATCTTGACTATGCTATGTTTGATCGTTCCATTGGGGGCGAGCTGCGGAATGCAACGGTGGTTTGCGGCATGATGCATCGAGACCACAGAGGCGTCTGGGCAAGAATCGGCACTGATAGGAAACGCATGAAAAAGTGGACGCCCCCTACCTCAGCGAAGAGTTGTAAGCTAATTGCAAGTGGGGCCGAGTGCCACGCAGCGCAGTATGAAGCCTTGACATCTTGTAAACACATTTTGGAGGGCGTAACAGAAGCTATTATCAAAGCGGCTTCCTCGTGCGGGGAGGTTTCGAAGCCCAGGGAGGAAAAGTCGAAGATCTCAGACCGCATGAGCAAAACCGCAAGCTGGACGAACTCATTCCTCGTGGTTCGGCGACAGAGTTGCAATGCATCAAACAGGGGCCAAAGATGAAACAGCACATTGCCATCACTCGGGACGCCCAGGGTCATCTGAAGCACAGCAAGGCGGACATCGCCGAGGTAGTAAGGGTGCCTTTATGAATATGTTTATTTCGCAGACAGAAGCTGTTGCAATCGAGGGGCCGAACAGCCAGGCGACAATCAGCGAGGTCCCGGCGTCCATCGACGCAGTTTCAAAGAAGATGACCAAAAGCAAAGCTTGTGCTGGAGATGGCGTTGTCGTGGGGATGTAAAAAGGACAGTGGCTGGGTAATGCTCGACACAACGACTGGCTATTTTGGGATCTACTCGATGGGAAGAGCAATGTGCCAGAGATATGGTGTAGGACAAGATTTGCTGTCTTGATCAAAAAGGGCGATGCACCTCTCCCAAAAATCCATGCCGCCTTGAGCTAAGTGTACAGTTCTGTCATGCTGTCACGTACCGAAGTATTCATGGATCGGTCGGGGACGCCACAAGGAATGGGTTTTCGAAAGAATGATTGGTGTGGTGGCCTCATTCATTGTTTGAGAATGGTTAGTGGAAGAACACATTGAATGGGGACTTAGAGAAAGCGTTCGGCAAGGTGAATTCTGCCGCTTTCTCTGGTCTCAGAGCCAGCGCGAGCGATTGCGAGCTGCGCGCCGTGCACCATGTGTACGCGCGGCAGTGGGTGTTCGTACAATTGGACCCCCTGACCAACAACGGAGAATTCCAAGTTCCACGGGGCGTCTGGCAGGGGGAACCCATGCCACCAGCACTTTTCATAGTGTCAGGGAAACAATGGCTGAGTTTCGCGTGGAGTGGAAAAAACAAGTTATGATACAGTCATTCGAAGTAGTGTGCTGGATGAAAACATAACGCCGTGTTTTATTTTCGCGGCCGACGCGACGTTTGTCGCTGTCATCAAGGATCGGCTTGAGCGCATTGGTCTGCAGCTGGATGCAGACAGGTGCAACATCCAGCGCGCTGGCAACAGGGCGCCGCCAGACCAGAAGGCGATGTTTTCCAGAGAATCATAACTTCCCTGCTGCTGGGGCAAACGTTTCAGAGTTCTCTCGACTATCGTCATTTTGAACGGTAACACGAATGTGGACTTCGAGGCTCGGCTGAAGGCGGGCTGGGTGAAGTTTTCAAGCTTATTGCCGCCTTTGGCCAGGAAGGGCGCGTCCGAGGCGAGGTGCCTCCGTCTGTTTGAGTCGTCTGCGTCGAAAACTGTGTTATGGCTTGCAGGGACATGGGGACTTGTTGTTAAACCAAAGCGCAAGTTGCGGAGCACGCAGCGCCGCGTGCTTCGGCGAATGGTGGGGCCGAAAAGACGCCCAGATGAACATTGTTTTGGGTCAAGCGAGCCGTGCGAATTGCCGAGGCCAAACAAAGCAAGACGCGCGATAGTATCGCGCTGAGTCGAAGCGTTCCTGGAGGCGGAATGGCGTTGGGCAGGCAAGATTGGGAGCATGCCTGCTGACAGTTGGTCGAAAAGGGCAATGACATGGATAGACAGTGCATGGTGGAACACGCCATCAAGAGGCATCGTGTCTTGCCCGATCCGCTTGCGACCAGGGCGACTTGTTAGATGGGAAGATGATCGTTTTTTTTTTCGCTGCTGAGAGAAATTGGGAGCCATGGTTCAAAACAGGTGCAATTCCGGAGGTGTGGAAAGACCATGAAAGAGAAGGCCAGTTGTTCTTCAAGCGCTGAGCCCTTTCCAGGGCCCCCGCGCCGTCAACGGTGCGCCTGCCGCCCGGGCGGGCCGCCTGCTTCGTGCCCGCGACGGCAGGGTTCGTTCGCTCGTTGCATCGACGGTGCTCCTAACGCAGTATATATATGGTTGTTCGTTTTGTGGGGATGGCGCAAGCTGCGCGGGCGCCTCCTCGCCGCGCATGATCATCGGTTACCTAGCCTGTTCGTGTTTGGCCGAATGGCATGTGCGCTGCCTTCTGGTCGCGGGTGCTCCGCGGAGTTCGGCAGTGCGAGTGAGCGGGCGATGGCCCCGGCGACTGTGCCCCTAGGGGCGTTCGAACGCCCGCCCATCAAGAGCTCATCTGGAAGCTCGACGCCATGTCAATTCACCATTCGCGCTGGCTCGCCCGCGCCCGATACTTTTGGCGCAATTCTGCGGTGCTGCCCCGCGGGCGCGGAGTCCGAAGTAGACCGGGCTCAATCGTTCACTGCGCTTGCGCCGCCGGGGTGACGGGCGTGCCTGGCGAACCCGCTGTCCTGGAGGCGTCGCTCGGGTCCCCCATCGAGCGTGCTCTGTATGTCCCTGACTTCGTCGCTCTGGATGCTGGGCGGCGAGATGGCCGTGGCATCGGCAGCTTCAGCTGCGGCGGGTCACGGAGCCGAGGCCGTTTGCTCTGGTCAGATCGCGACTTGGCCTAGGGGGCCGAGCGGACCAGAGGGCCGATCTTATTTTCTTCGGGTAGTATTCTGTTGCTGTTGCCAAGAAAGGTCAAGCAATCGCGACGATCGCAGCGGCGGGAAATTGCGGCCGATTTCCGTGGGCGCCGAGGCCATCGAGGCGCGCGGAGCTCCCAAGGGGGGCTTCAAAGACGCCGTGGACCCACTGAACGAGACCGTCGACGAGACTGCGAAGACGGCAGAGGCGCTGGAGACGAACCCGTCCAGGCCAGCCTCGGCGAGAAGCGAGCCCGAAATGTCAGCGAGATCGGGGGTCGCCGCATTTGAGACGGAGCTCCATGGCCTGGGGCGTCAGGCCCCGTCGAGCTCAGGAATGGAAGCGGGATGGGTCTAGCGGCAGTCGGCTCCTCGACAGTGGCGGTTATTGCAGTGGCGGGGGGGGGGCGTGCAGGGAAGTCTCCTTCCTGGCTGCGGGGCGGGCCCAGGGGGCCCGGGGGCGCGCCCAGTCCGTCGACGCTTGCGAAGAAGGGATGGGGGTGTGTGTGAGGGCTTCGTTTTCCTGAAATCGCGGCCCCGAGCTTGGCGGCCGCGGCGGTGGCCGCTCTGGCGGAGGAGGAGGTGGCGACGCAGAGCGGTGGGGGGTGAAACGGTGCTGGCGTCGGCGCGACCTAGCGGCGCCGATCAGGGCCAGGGTGCGCGCCGGCTTCTTGGGGCCTTCGCAGCCGGCCGGCCCGTCGAGTGGAAGTTCGCAGCGCGGCCCGCGGGGGCCGGGGGGGGAGCGCGCGCCCTCGAGGTGGAGGGGGGGGGGGTCGTGGAGCGAGGTCGAGGCGATGAGGGCGCGCGCCATCATGTCATCTAGGGTTGCATGGGCCAGCGGTCATGCGTGTGTGGGGGGCTTTATAGCGCCCCCGAGGTGTAAGAAGGCCGTCGAATCTATCGAACAGATTTCCGACAGACTCTGCGGACTGAAAGCGCGAGCGTCGGGTGGCGCACTCGGTGTCGTCGCGGCGCGTGCCTCTCATGGCGCCCGGCCGATGGAGGGCCGTTTCCGCCCCGTGGCGCAGTTGGGCGGAAATTGCGGGCGGCAATCGACAAACGTGGGGCGGTTCATCTTTGGCGATCACAATGCGCGCTTGGGCTGCTGTCTGCCTGGAGAGGTAGGCGCGGTCGGCGTGCGCGCGCTCGGGCAGCGGCGTCTGCTGCCGCTGAAGTTCCAGACCAGGATTTACTGTTCGAAGTATGCATGTCCGACGCCGTGCTGATTGCGAGCGCCGTCGCGCCAGGCGGCCCCGACAGCATGGCCCCGCGCGTGGGGCCGGGGCGTTCGAGGGCGGGCCTGCCGCCGAGAATGGTTTTAATATGCTTGTCATGATGGTCCGCGATGTCGGCGCCCTCACTAGCATGCGTGAATTGGAGGCGCGTCGAAGCGCAGCGCTTGCCTCGGACCACTTCTGCGCCCGCGCAGAGCCGCGGCATTCCCCGGGGGGGGGTCGCCGCGGACCAGGCCAGGGAGCGACGCCCGGGCCTTGCAGCGCCATCGAAACAGGCAGACGTTTGCGAGCGCGTTCAATGCGCGCGTTGGCCGGCGCGGGGGCTGGTGGGGGAACGCGGCAGATATTTGGAAGATAGCTGCGGGGCCATGGGCGCCGCGGCAGAGACTTCGCCCTGGCGAGCGAGGCAGGCGCGTGGGTCGCGGGTGACAGAGAAGACGGTGGCGCCGGTCGAAGACAGGCGGCAGGCGCGCCGATGTGGGCATGGGGGCCTGAAGCGGGGCCTTCGCAAGCGGGCCTGGAAGGAGGCGTAGGTAGATGTGGCGGCGCGCGCAGATTAATCGTTGCGCACTGGGTGGCGGAGACGAAGTCGGTTGCCCCGCGAACCCCGACGCCGCGCAAACGGAGCGCTCAGGGATAAAGATGGGCATCCTGTTGACAGTGGGCAGTTGGTGGATGCAATGCCTGACCACCTGAAGCGCGTGCAAAGGTGTAGTCGCCTGGCCGGGGCGATGGGCGGCCCGGCCTCGGGGGGCGAGTTCCCTGTTTACTTGGGCGCCGTCGCCAGGGTAGATGTCGAAGTCGTGCTCGAGCGCCTCGCGAAGTGCAAGGCTTGTGGGCGCGACGAGATCTCAGCATAGTACTGGATGGCAGTGGGCGGCGCAGTCGATGGAGTGGCGCGGCTCGCAGGGCCGTGCCGCGCGCGCTGGGTATCGGAAGAGACCCTGGCGGAGTGGCGCGCGGCAGACGTCGCGTCGCTATGCAAGAAAGGAAATGTTGAACATTGCGACAATAATTGCCCAATCAGATGCACGCCAGCGCCCTCAGGCGGCTGCCGGCGGCAGGGGCTGGGCCCCGCCTGAGAGCCGCTCAAGTCGGATTCGCACCGGCAAGGGCGCGCAAGTCGCGATCTTTGCCGTCGGGCGACGGGTGGGCCAGGAGCAAGCTTGCAGAAGTGGCCGAGTAGGAATTAGAAAATGTGGCGCTTGATTGGAAGAAGGCGTTTGGCTTAATCAATCTCGTCGACGCGTGCGCGGCGCTCAGACGCGCTGGCCCCCCAGCGAAAATGCTGCGCGTTATCAGACATAATTGCGCGGGCAGAGTCTTCAGTGTGGGTGCCTTCCCTGGCTTTCTGTTCAGAGCGCACCTAGCGCTCTGGAATTTCGCCGGGGTGCCCGCTTTCTCCATTTGTCTTCGCGATGATAATGACTGCCGTTCTGCGCGATGCCTGGGCAAGGGCCTCCGTCGCCGTGCAGCAGCAGCCGCTCCGCGAAGGCATTTGATATTCCCCCGCGCGCAGATGGCGCGCTACGTCTGGGGGCAGATGAATGACATGTGCAAGAGCTACATGGCAGCCTTGCACTTGTCGGGAAGTGTCTCGCCATGGAATTGCACTGGTCCCAGTTCCAGCCCATGTCCGCTGGGTCGACAGCGCCGCCTCTGCGGGCCTGGCGACCAGGAGATTCCCGCCACGGAGGTGATGAACTACCTCGGGGCGCTACTGTTCGCAAGCGGGAGTTTCCAGAGTGAGTTGCGCCGCGCGATCGGACAGGCCTGGTGCGAATTTAGCATATTGAGGAGCTTCTGGAAACGCGCCGCTTTGCCCAGAACGAGGAAGCTTGAAGTTTCAGAATCATTGGTGATTTTCATTTTGCTTTGCGGTCCCAGCTCCACCTTGTCGAATGCCGCGGCGCTTAACTAGGTTCCATTACAGGTGTCTGCGTGTCGTTTCGGGAATACAGCCATCGTTCGTCTCCCGCTTCTCGAACCTGAGGGTGCTTCGAGAGGCAGGGGCGCCGCCGCTGGCCAACGGGCAGTTGCGGCGCCAACTGCTGCTATATGGCCGCGTTGCGAGGTCCCCAGACAGCGACGAGCTGGAGCGGCGCACGTTCTGCCCACGTTGGGAGACTGAGGAAGGAATGGAACGGCCAACTGCAACGGCGTGCCGTTCTTGTACCAGCAAAGCTGAGAGATTGGGCGGCTTGGCAGTCCGTTGTCTGCCGCCATTGAGTGTGGTGGTGCGTCCACGCGCCTCGGCGTCTGACTTTTGCGTTTGCCTTTGCGTTTCCTGCGCCGCTGGCCATCGCGAGTACCTGCAGCTCGATGCAGTTTCCAGCATACAGTTGTGCGGGCAATCCATTGGTACACTGGTCCTGCGTTCCACCCTCCTTCCTCCCGTTCCCCTCTCTCCTCCTCGGCCCTTTCTCCCTCTCGATCCTCTTTTACCCCCCTTCCCAGAACCATGGCCCGCGATGGAGACCCCTGGAGGGCTTAGTTCAATCGCCGCCTGCACGTTGGCGAGACCGCTGAGGTCGGTGAAGAGCCCCGCCTGACGAGGAGGTGGTTGAGGAGGATGAGGATGATGATGATGATGATGCTAACGGTGATGATGATCATGGTGATGGTGGTGATTGTCATAACGTTGGTGCATATGGAATGAATGAAGAAGATTCGTATTATGATGTTGTTGTTGATGATGATGATGATGAAAGAAATGGCTACGATGATACTGATGCAGATAATGCTGCTGATGATGATGGTGGTTGATGACGATGATGATGGGGATGGTGGTGGTGCTGGTGCTGCTGTTGCTGCTGATGAGGATGTTGTTGACGATGCTGATGATGGGGATGATGAGGATGATGATGATGATGATGATGATGATGATGATGATGATGATAGTAATGATGGTGGTGGTGATGGTGAGGGCTCCGATGTTGGATGTGCTGATGATGATGATGGCGATGATGATGCTGATAATGATGGTGGGATTGGATGGGATTTACACGGTTGGCCGAATAGTTGTTTTGCCGCCGCGGCGGTTCCCCAATCTATTCATAGATCGAGTCCCAAGAAGTGCGCGGGCATTCTGTACCCGCACACGAGGAAGGACGACAGACCCAGGTACCGGTACCCGGCGGTGCGGTCCAGCTCCATCCCTATCACGATGTCGACGGCACTGCAACTTGGAACCCTTCCACCGTGGCCTTGTATAGCGCGAAGCAATCCGCATCGACGGTAGCTTCACGACGAAGTGCCCCGAAAACCGTGCCCCAATCGTGCCCACCGAACCCGATTGCCTTCGCCGCCTGGTCGAGGTTTTCAAGCATCGCCGACGGCAGCTCCACGTACGTCTGGTCCTCAGGAGCCCCAACGGACGGCCCCGTGGGGTAGCCCTCGACCTGCGCTTTCGACGCCACGACAGGGGCTTCGAACGTTTTGTCAACCAGCACATCGGTCGCGAGCCGCTACTGGGTTCTGCCAGGTGGCGCGCGCCGCGACCACCCGCGAGTAGGCCTCCAGGTTGGCCGTGATCACGGGGCCGAGGCGCTGCTACAAGCTAAGCTCTTCCTCGCTCTCCGTGAAGCCCTTGCCGACGACCGCGACACCGTCCAGCAGCTGCTCCCCGACGCTGAGCCCGTCCCCGACCTTGGCCAGGAACATCTCGCTGGAGACCACAGCCTCCTGCTGCGGCGGCACGGGCTGGCCCTCGGCGCGTGCCTGCTCGCACGGACGGACGAAGTCGTCCATGCAGGAGGGGCCCGCGGCGGCCCCGGCGGCGGCCCTGGGTGGCCCCTGGCGCGCGCCGTCTTCGCGAGCTCGCTGGCGATCTCGGCCTCCAGCTTGCTCTCCAGCCCGCCCTCCGTGAAGCCCTTGCTGACGCCCGCAATGTCGTGCAGCAGCTGCTCCCCGACACTCGAGCCGCCCTTGTCCCCTCGGGCTGTGAACTCCTCGCTCACTTGCCGCTTGGTGCTGTCAGTGTCCTCAGGGGGACCTTTTCCTCAGCGTCCGCGATCTCCTGCTGCACCTCCAGCTTGGGGAAGACGTGGACTGCAGGGAGCGCCTGCACGCGCGCGACCAGGCCTACCTGCTCGCACGAGTTCCCCTCGCCACCGCGACCCTCGCCCTCAGCCAGATCGGCACCTGCAGCGACTTGACGAGCTGCTGCGACTCCGGAGCCACCACACCACTCGTCGTCCCTCGCCAAGTCCAGGACCACGACGCCGCTCTCGACGTGTTGCGCCATCTCGTCGTCCTGCTCGTCCACGTCCACCTCCAGGATGGGCTGCATGCAGGTCCCCGATGAAGAGCGAGCCTGCCGGGCTGCCCTCCAGCTGCTCGGCAGCGGGGCGCTGCCGGGCCTGCTCGGCGGTCCGCCGGGCCTCGCTGCTGCCCGTGTCCTCTGCCTCCCCAGCGAAGACGTGGGCCACCAGCGCCTCGGCGATGAGGTAGGAGTGCACCTCGAGCTCGACGTTGCCGCGGCGGGCGACGAGGAGCGGCGGCGCGCTCGCCATGCCCAGCATCACCCGATCATGGCTCGCCGCCAAGGGCCGCTCTGAAGAGCGCGGCGCCAAGGCCTAGGCGCACGGGTGCGCGGCCTGGGCCCAGAACGGTTAGAGCCCAAATGGCTGATGATGATGCTGCTGATGATGATGCTGATGATGATGCTGATGATGATGACGTTTATGATGATGCTGATGATGTTACTGATGATGATGATGATGATGATGATGATGATGCTGACGATGATGATGATGATGATGATGATGATGATGATGCTGCTGCTGCTGATGATGATGATGATGATGATGATGATGATGATGATGATGATGATGATGATGATGATGATGCGGAGCAGGAGCAGGAGGAGGAGGAGGAGGAGGAAGAGGAGAAGGAGGAGGAGGAGGAGGAGGAGGAGGAGGAGGAGGAGGTCGCACTCGCCATCTTCGATTCTTCTCGCCCCCTTGTCCCTCCGCTGTGCCTCGTCGTCCCCCTCTCCCCTCTCTGCCCCCCACTTTCCCCGGCTCGCGAGCCCAGGTGCCTATGGGGGACGCTGGCGCGACGATGGTCGGAGCCCCTGGCCAGGCGGGGGAGACCGGGAGGCTGCATATGGCCAATGCCGAGCAGGATGGCCTTCATTCTTCGCCCGCCTCTCTTGTTCGGACGGCGACAACCGTACACCGATACCGATACTGGCCAGGCCCATCCTGGGGCCACGATCGGTGTCGGAGTGTAGTTGTTGTCGTCCTCCTTTGTGCGGGCAGGATGGGTGGGAGGGTGGCCCCTCGCTCTGCGCCTCTGCGCGGTGAGCATCGTGTGCGGCCTGCCGATGCTCTGATAGGCGCCTCCCTTTTGGGAGCGACAGGCGCACCCCCCCCTTTCTGCTGCTGCTGCTGCTCCTTCTGGTCCTTCTCTCTTCCTCTTCCCTCCTCCCTCCCTCCTCCAGGCCAGACTCAGGTCGCCTCCTGGCGGAGGCCGTAAACCCAAGCCAGGCGACTCCCCGCCGTTGTCTTCCCGCCCCTTCCCTGACCCCATCCCGCTTTGGCGGTAGCATGGATCCGCCCTGGCGTGCTGGCCGATCCGCTGCTTCGCGGCGGGGGCAGACCGCGGGTGCCCCAGCGCGAGCGGTGCGGCTCCTCTTCAAGAGTTTTGCTGCCCTGCAGCATGCAGGCTGCCAGGCCATCCGGATGGGTTCAGCCTTTGCCGAGGCGCTCCGCCACGTCACATAGTCCAGCCGCGGGCAAGGACAAAGAAGGTCCAGGACCGGGACACGGACCTCGTGGAGGTGAAGTTGGAGAGGAAGAGGGGCGTTAAGGTGCAGCTGGGCTGCAGGCCGACAAGTCCCTCCCGAGCATCTCTGAAGACGGAGGTAGCAAGGGGACGGACCTCCTCACGCCGGAGAGCGAGTTCCCCTCCCCTCCCACCTCGCATCTCCCCACAGTTGTGCCTTCTTTGTCCTCGCATGCAATGGCTCCTCAGCCGTGCTCGTCCTCCGCCTCCACCTCGGTCGACACGGCGAACATGCGAAGGATGCCAGCGCATATATTCTACACCGCACTCGGCATTCGCCCGTTTCCGGCCGTACTTGTCCGCCATGTTCTGCCGACAGTCAAGGCAGAAGCATAGACAGGATGTCTTAGTTCATCGCTGCCCTTCGGGACCAGCAAATGGGTCATGGGGAGATCCTCATTGCTCCCCTCCCTCTCATTCCAGCGATTTTGCACTAAACAGGGCTGTGAGGGCTGTGAGGCTTCTTTGATCGAAACCGTGTGGAATAGTGGTTGCTGAGGGTAACCCTGTTCTCGTACGGGGTGTCCATCTATGATATCCGCAGCGTTATCACACTCTTGAAACATGATTTCTGCACTTCCGTGCGGGAATTGGCCTTCGCCCTCCGTGCGGGAATTGGCGTTCGCGCCGGCACGCGGAGGTGGCTGGTGGAGGGCCCCCCGGTCTCGCCGACGCTCGCTGACCTGGGAGTCGTCCACGTGCTCGCACTGTCCTCTCTTGCCAGCCGCCTGCAATCATAGCACGGCCATCTTGCCACCCTGCCTTTCCTGAGCATGTTGCGTCGCTCTCGGCCGAGGGCCGGGGCATTGCAGTCTCAGCGCACTTGGCCTTTCTGCTCCCCTTCCTCCCCTCCTCCCCCTCTCCATTGCGGCTGCCTCTTCTGTCCCAGACTGGGGAAAGTCGGGTACGCAGCCTAATACTTGCCAGCTCGTGTGTTCCTCTCCCTCCTTCTCTTTGTCCCTCCTCCTTCCTCCGCTATCCCTTAATACTGTGTTGGATTTTCGGCGGTGGCTGTCCGGGCCAGGCGGTAGGGGGAAGACACAACGTATGCAGCCGCGACCCGATTCGCTTTGAGGGCAATTCGTCTCAGTCGCCATTGGTTTCCTGCAGGTCTCACTCGGGAGGAAAGAGCGATGACGGTCCTGCGGCAGGGTTGCTTGCCCACTCCCCGGCACGAGTTGCTAATGATCAGGCGTATGCGACGTCTCCCTTTTGCCTTTCCCTCCCTCTTCTCAACAAAAATGATTTCTTCACTTCCTCCTTAGCCTCCAGCCGACTGGAGAGCAAAGCACCTATTGGGGGTAGCACTGCAGGTACATTCATGTGTTCGTTGAGTTTCTTTTGGCGCCTACTCCTCCTTCCTCCACGCTGCGGTTCACATTTTGCCCCCTGCGCTTTCAGAGACAGGCAGGCAGACATTTGCCTCCTTCCTGCCACCCCCGTAGTTTTTGGGATCGTCGTTTCTGTCGCGGCCAATCTTTGGTGCCCCATTTCGGTTCGGGTGCTTTTTCCTCCATGCAGGCGAACCGATGCGGGCTCAGTGTTGCCTAACGGCTGGCGCCTGAACGTGCTCACTGGCGAATCAGAGTGTTCGGATGATGCCCATACGCTTCAGGCTCGGGCACCCCAGCATTCAGCATTCACTCCCCTCCTCCTTGGGGGAAGTATCAGCTTACATGAAGTGTATGGCCAGCCCCACTTTTAAGTGGTCTTGCTCCCTCCGTTGGAACGAGGTGTCCATCCCCGGTTGTAGGTTGTACGGCTCCATGCTCTTGTTCTCGAAGGGCAGGGTAAAGTTTGACACAGCATGCCTGCCCTCCACTTGGTAATGCCCTCAAGATGTTCCAAGTGCGCGATTGCCGATCTCATAATGTACGGGGTGAGTGGTCTGGCGACCTCCTCTGTTGACAAGAGGTGCCCGACCAGCCTCACTTGTGAGTGGCTTTACTCCATTCCACCATTCCCAGCCTGCGCTTTTTTAGTCGATTATTCAAATGAGTCGGCACATCTTTGAACCAATGCCCCTCCTGAGATTTTGTTCCTCAGAAAGGGTATTTGCTTCACCTCCTTCACCAGCGGATGATGAAATTGCGCCCATATGATTGACGTTTTTGTGGTCCTCTAGTTGTGCGGCCAGGCTCGGCACTTACGAGTGCCCCCCCACACCCCTTGGGGGCGTGTATGTTTTCCCTAGGCATGCTCGTTCCGCGGCAGGACCCACAGCGGTCGTTGCCGACAAAGTGGTCATACACCAAGGGGTCGTCCAGCCATTTTTGCTCCCTTTCCTTCTCATCCCCCCCTTTCCTTCGCTTCGGAGTATTGGAGACAACCTCCAGTCCCTGGTGTGATAGGTCTGCTGTTCGTGTGCGGCAACCTGCCCACCGTTCCTAGGTGGAGTCCTGGACCATGCAGACACGGCCACCGGCATAACTGACGTGCGCCTCCCTTCCTTCTCTCGTCTTTTTATGTCCTCTCTCCTCCTGTTTCCTGTCTTGTCAGGCACCGCGCAGCTGGGATTTGACACAGGGCACAGGTATCGAGTGACCTGGCGCTTGTTTCAAATGCCTTCAGTGTGATTTGCCGCGCGGCTGCACTCCCTTCGCGATCCACATAACAAGCATGATCTCGCGCAGGGCTCATTCGAACCAAACGCCCCTCTATTCCAGCCGCCATCTTTCCTCCTCTCTTCTCCCTCCTCCCTCCTCCCTTTCCCTGCTCCTCCCTCCACCTTCGTCTCCCCTTCTTCCATGTATGCGCGATCTCGTGGGTAGTCTAGAAGCCCTTCGGATGCCCCCTTTCAGGCCCTGGCGCCTGGCCCTCGGTAGCATGCCCGATCTCCCCCGCTGAGCTCACAGCACTGTCTTGCTATCTGTCCCAGCGCGCGGCCCCATGCTCTTTGCGCGGCTGCACCGCTTGATCACCTTGTCTTTCGTCGCGGGCAGCCCTGCCGAGTTCGCTCTCCAATGATCGCTTCCGAGGGCGCCGTCTTGGGCAAATGTAAACCCAAGCGTCGCTCGGAGTCCTCGGTCATCGACTGCGCAGCGCTGCATCAGCTACTGCACAGCTTCGTTGTCCCGCGTCATATCTGCACATCTGCACTCAGGTGGCTCACAAGGCAGCTTGGTGCATTCTGACGGCAAAACTATATGATACCTGCTTCGTGTATGTGAGTCGTCAGCGTAATGCGACGGAATCATAATCGTTTCGCCTTGCAATATTCGCTTTGCGAAGTTTACATTCTTGGCAGTCTGGTCAGGCGTTTTTTCTTCATATCGCTCGCAGTTGCCCGCTCTCCCAAGTCATGGACCGATTGTGCTGATCTTGATGGATGCATTCCCGGGCCCTGAGCTGAAGCATTCCTGCCAGGGCCGTGAACAGCGTTCGCGGCTATCATCTTGAGACGGCCGTTAAAAGTGTTCGCGTCATCTGACGGCATCTTCTTCTTATGCAGCGTATGCATCCTGGATGCAGTTGGTCCGCCTTTCCCGACATACTAAAATCAAACTTGCAGCGGATGGGTTGCCTCTCGAATGGGCCTCATGTTCAAACGCTGTCGCTGATGAAGCGGGGGTAGTCACACCGCTCGGCCAGCTTATCATATTCAGTGGTTTGTTCTCGTCAAGACCCCCAGTTGGGCCGCCACTGAACGCTACTAGCTCCCTCTACGCTGTAGCCAGGGTCAAGCAGGTATCATCCTAAGGTTTCATCGTTCTCACACAGAAGTCCTGCGTCTGAGCAGCGAAGTAGCCGTTGCTATTTTTGGTTGGTTGGAGCCTCCCCCCTTACGCTGTGCCATTGCTACCATTCGAAACTTTTCGCACCTGTCACCACGTGGCATAAGGACATGGCACGGTACGGCACCAAATGAGGTCTTTGTCCACACGGGGCCCTCCTAATCTACCCGCACGGGCGTAAAATGAAGACAGACAACAAATATTTGTTCTACCCTCTCGGCACCACACGGCACCACCGCACGACACCATCGTTTGCCACGGCACGGTATACAGTTCGAGATTCGATCAGGGGCGACACAGGGCTCCATCTAAACTACCCGCACGGCACCACGCAGAACCACAGGGCATCAAAGCACAGGGCGGAATGGCATTGCGCAGCGTGGCAAGGGTCACACCACCAGATCACGTCTTGTGCGACACATGGCACCTTCTAAGCTACTTGCGCAGCAGCTCTCAGCACCACATGGCACCACGGTGCGACACGGCATGGTTCACCCCATCAGATCACACGCCGGGCGACAAAGTGCGCCTCTATATACAGATGGAGCCACACGGCAGCACGGCACGGCACGGCGTAGCACGGCTCACGCCAGTAGTGGCCAGGGTGACGGGCTCTCAGAGACACTTCCCCTTCCCCCCGCCCACCGCCGCCAGTCTCCAGTTCCCCGTCCCGCCCCGCCTCCCCATCCACCTCCCGCCCTCCCTGCCCCTCCCCTGTCCCTCTCTTTTTATACCCGTCTGCATCCTCCCCTGCAGTCGTCGTCGTCGTCGTCGTCGTCGTAACCCGGATGGGACGCGGAATCCCAAAATTATTTGGAGTTTGGCAGGCGATCTCTTGCGCAGCCTCGGGCCTCGGTTGTAAAGACAGGCCTGGAGAAATTGGCTCTTGAGTTTTTGTGTTCAACTGGGCGCATCATCATCATCATCATCATCATCATCATCATCATCATCATCATCATCATCATCATCATCATCATCATCATCATCATCATCAGCATCATCATCATCATCATCAGCATCATCAGCATCATCATCATCATCATCATCATCCTTGTCCTCCTCTCCTCTCTTGTCTCATCTTCTTCGTTCTCATCTTCTCTTCTTCAGGCGGGCACTTGGGCGGTCGCCAGGAGGCGCAGAGCATCAGTGTCTGGGACTGGCCGGGCGACTCCGACGGCCCCGTCTGCACCGCCTCCGTGGGCCGCCGACCCCCTTCGCGCGCGGGGGGTCATGGAGAGGCGCGCGTCGTGCGCCCCTTTCCGAAGTCGGTCGCGTGGGGATCTGCACCAGATGGAGTCCGATCGCGTGACAGCTTCGCCCATATCCATTGCTTACACAGGCTGCACGCGTCTATTTGGTCGCGTCCTTCTGAGTATCCCGAGCATCCCGAGGGCACGACTTCTGAACACGTTGGGTGGGTTCGGTTTTCGGCCCGGAGCCCGCTTGAATTTTGACCTCCAGCGCCAGACCTCAGGGTTTCCCAACTTGCCGAACTCCCGATGCATCAAGTTGCTCTCCGAGTCGCGAGGTCCGAGTCCCAAGCTTCTCCTTCTGCTTGTCTTCCTTCTCCTTCTGCTGCTGCTCCTCCGTCCGCACGGTGTATTTCTCCTCTTTCTTCTTTCCTTCCTTCCGCCTCCTCCTTCTCCTCCTCCTCCTACTTCTCCTTCTCATCCTGTTTTGCTTCGTCCTTTCTCCTCCTCTTTCTTCCCCTCCTGGTGCCTTAGCAGGCCACTTCTCTAATGTTGCGCTTTCTCTGTGGTTCCTTCGCCTCCCTGGCCCGCTCAGCATTGATCTGAGGGGGGGAGGACTCTGGCGGAATGTTCTCTGTTTCCAGTGCGTGCGCTAATGTATTGTCATTCCGTTGCGTCGTCGTCGTCGTCGTCGTCGTCGTCGTCGTCGTCGTCGTCCTCATCTTTCTTCACCTTGCGCTCTTGGATCTGCATCTGGACCGTCACTATCCCGAGTTGGCCTACGACCCCCGTCTTCTTGCCGCGTTCGTCTTTGTACACCTCGCAGCCTTCCAGCTTTCTCCCATGGTCAGCGATGGGTCTAGCAGCCGCTCGAGTAGGCTCCCGATACCCTCCACCCTGCCAAACGTGCCTGGAAACCGTCGACACCGCGCGCTCCCCCTGCTTGCACACGCCGCACTGGTGGCGAATACAAGGGCGCGACATCCTTCGTGTCAGCCCATGCGCTGCTCTTCACGCTGACGCGATGAGACTCCGCTGGCGCACAGGGCTCCCCAGTCGCGCGCTTCAGCCAGTTCCGTTGCCTCGCCATGCTGTCCGCTGTGCAGATCTTGCAGCACCAGCTATCCTCCGAAAGTAACAGCTCGCCCGCAGCAGCAGCAGCCGCGGCGTCACGCACTGGGGCCCGTCTTTGCAAATGTGAGCCCGAGCAGAGCTCTGCGCACGAGCCTGCGCGCCGCTCGCATCACTTCCGCGGTTCAGCTCTGGCGCAGCTGGCCTTGGCGCGCAGGGTTTTGGCGAATCCAGCCGCGTGCCTTCGCTCGCAGGCGACCAGCGTCCAAGGCCGCAAGCGATCGAGCTCCGCGAAACCGCCAAATGCTGGAAGAAGACGTGCACGCTGCGCTATCACGCCTAGGACGGGTGTCATCGCGAATGCAGTGAGCAGGACAGCGCAGGCAACAGACCCGCTCATCGCATGTGGCCTCCGTGAATGCAGAGTCACCGCGCAGAACTATCGACACAACCAGCTTGAGCCAAAGGGCCACGGCGGGTGCTGCCCAGGAGAGGGTGTCGAGTGCCAGCCCGCGGTACCGTGAGACCTAATGCTGGCCATGCAGGACCATCTCACATGCAGCTTGGCGCAGCAGCAGGGGAAGATCGGCTTGCTGCTGCTGAACCAAATTGTGAACCACATGCAGATCAGATGGGGTCAGAACGAAGGGCTGCGAGAAGCGGCAGTAGAAGGAGGTCGACTGGGTTAAACTCGAGGTGCTCACGGAGGCTTGTGACATGATCTTCTCGGCGTCAGGACAGCCGCAGACGGTACCACTGCCTTGGGGCTGTGCATGCGCAAGACAGACTGCTGAAGGACCAGGTCACGATGGTCGTCAATCATATCCGTAAGCTGGAATGCATGGCGCAGGCGCGGGAGGAGTCGGCCCCTGCTATGGACGCGCTCGTGCTCTCGGAGCCGGATGCTCTTACTCCGCAGGGGTTGGAGCAGATCTATATCAATATTCAGGCGAAGCAGCTCTGTTCGCCCGGCCAGCAGATACACGAGTGGCAGGCGGCGCGGATTGCGGGAGAGGAGCGGTTAGCCAGCGATATGGCTGCCCTGGGCAGTTACCCTGGCGCCCAGCTGGCAAATGTCGTGGGCCCAGATCGTTGTGTCGAAGGTGAAGCACAGCAGGGAGGATGAGGGCGAGTTGTCGCTGAGCACCAAGACGATGGGTACAGCCTCGGCCCAGGCTGGCTCTGCTGGCGTCAGGGGAGTATGTGCCAGTACAGCAGTCCTCGTCAACGAGTTCGATCCTGGATGCGAAGCACGCGCAGAATTTGGGCAAGGAGTTTTTGGACCTGCTGGATCGCGCTCGGCGCAGCTCGCCTTATACGGCGCCTGCGGTGCGACTCGACCTGTCATCGCCGCTGCTCGCACCGCAGGAGCTTTGGGTGGTGCTGCAGTGGCGTTAATCAAGGACATCGGAGAGCTGCTTGCAATCTGCATCTGCAGTCTACGCGGCCGGTGTTCCGCCAGCGTGGTGTGTGGCCAGTCCGCCCCTCGGCGCTCGTGCACTTCCTGAGTGCAGGCCAGCGCAATTCAAGGCGTACCCGATGATGAGCGAAACCTGCATATCGGCATGTGGGCAACTTCCACCCAGACTTTGTGCTGGGAGGTGCTCCTACAGCAAGCCTGGGCGGGGCTTGACCCGCCAGCGCAAAGGTCACGAAAAGTACCGCGTATCTGTCCTCCTTTCGTTGAGGGCGCAACCGAGGACAAGTTCTGTAATCGACAACTTCTCGAAGTTCTCGTCCCGGGAGGGCGAGGCCAGCCGTATCGCGAACAGGGCTTACCAGCAGACGGGATTCATTCGCCTCCTCCTCCGTCCACCAGCAGGCTCCCCTACTTTATCCAGGCTCAAATCTGGCTCAGGTCCAGATTTCTAGCCCTTGTGTAAATCGGCGGTGAGATACCATAACCTGCGAGTCCTATAAGATGTTAGCTAGCATGGGCCCCAAACATTGATTCGTGCAATCGATGCGGTGCAACCTATATGGTGCAATCCATGTGGCGCAAAGCAATGCAACGCCATGCAAAGCAATGCAATGCAATGCAAAGCAGTGCGCATCAATGCTAATCACTGCAACGTAATGCAACGCAATGCAAATCGATGCAACACAATGCAAAGCAATGCGAGGAGGGGTGGTGGAAACGGGGCGGTGGCGACGGGCGGGAATGGGGCCGCTGGGCCCGCAAACAGTTTTTTATCGGGAAAATTGGCGCGGCGACAAAGGGAAACTGGGCTGCCGGGGCCGCGCACGGGCCCATTTCTTTAGAAGAGAAGTAAGAACCCCTGAGTAGGAGTATTGCTTGGGGAATAAACACGCGCTTCTTGCTTGCTATCGGTGCATCACAGATGTTTGAAGCATGCGTTGGTGGTGTTATCACAACTGGCGCGATTACTGACGGTGGCGGCGTGGCAATCAAGTCTGCTCGTCCAGACTGAATTCGTTGCTGGTGGTCATGGGCTTGCTGTGTCTGACATATCGAATCCCTCGGCTCCGTCGCGCATTGGGACGGTCATCCAACCATGCGTGTTGTCATCTCTGTGAGGGACTGCAGCCATAGAGATGCGTTGCCGGTGGGAAGGGGTTCGCAGTGCACAATACCCGAAACCCCAAGGCGCACTTGCGCCTTGGCCCTATCATCAAAACAGGTGTGCTGCACGGTGTTGCTGGTTCCGCGCTTGCTTTTGCTGACGCAGCGATGTTCGTTGCTAGTATGATGGGGTTTGTCGCTTACGACAACTTCAAGCATGCGGCACCCTCGCGTGTCAGTGAGGTCATCAAGACAAGTGCCCTGAGCCACCGCCCATCTGGGCGGCACAATGTTCATTGTTGGTGGGAAAAGGCTCGCTGTGTACGATATCTCGATCCCCCATGGCTCCATCATGAGTTGGTGGCGCCATCGACACTTGTATATTAACATGCGATGTTGGCACAGCAACTGCGGCAATCGATCACACGATGTTCTTTGCTGGTGGCAAAGGTGTTGCCTTCCATGGTAATTTCGAACCCCGTGACTCCATCTCGGATCGGCAGTGTCATCAAGACTGGTGTTTTTCCACCAGCTAGGGTGGTACAGCCATAGCTCTTGGGGAGGACTGGAAGTTCCTTGCTGGATCGCAAGGTCTCGGAGTACTCGACGTATCACGCCCAGCGTCACCACTGCGGTAAGATTTGATCATGGATTCAGGTGTGGTGTCACAGGTGTCTGACTGCATGGGTGGTGCAGACATCACGCTTCTTGGTCATGCAATCTTTGCCCTGTGCGGGAAATGGTTCACAACATTCGGCATTGTTCGGATTGTTTCTGAGCTCCCTCACAGCAATGTGCAGAGCCAGTATGGCCAGAGTCTTGACTTAGTGCATGTGGGTTTCGAGGAAAACTCTATGCTCCCCAATCTACAACTCGGCAGTAACGCTGCGCTCTAACAAGTCGTTCTCAGCAGCATGTGCACCCTATCGGGCTTCTCGGCGATTTGGTGTGGACGCAGGCCGTATGCTTACCAGCCACCTTTGCTTGGTAGCATGCTTCCGTCCCATGTCCTGAATTTCCATTTCTGCGCAGGAGATACCAAACAGTCAGTGCTTCTAGCTTAGTGCAGCTGGTTGACCAGCGCAAGGCCAGGCTGCTCTCAGTCTGCTGTTGAATTCATCTGTTCTCAGCGCTAGTATCGCTAGGTTGCTCTCTGCTAGAATCAAGCTTGTCAAGGTCTGTTAAATCAGGCTTTTCATTTTCAGCTAATGCTGCGCAGCAGTCGCGGCAAGTTCAACCTAGCTCAGCTTTCCTCTATGATCAATTGCAGCAGCACCACTGCGGCGTCTGACAAATTCTACTGGGCCTTGTCATGTGTATATCCGCGTGAGTTTTGACGTATTGTCCTGCTTCCAGCTCGCCGTCCGAACTGATCGTGCCGGCGAGTCACGCTCCATCTTACTCCCCCTCCTCCATGTTCCTCTATCTCTGTTGTGTCCCGATCAGGCACGACAGACGTGCAGACCTGCGTGTTGTTCAACGAGTGGGACCCGCAGGAAATCGGCACCAACGGCAAGCGCCGGGTGTTCTTCTGGAGCTGGGACGCAGGGGTACCCTTCCAGGCCCATGGGAGAGGATGAAGACGAGATGATGATGATGATGATGATGATGATGATGATGATGATGCTGATACTGCTGATGATGATGATGCTGATGCTGATGTTAATGATGCTGGTGTTGATGCTGATGATGGTGGTGGTACAGGTGATCCTGATGATGATGATGTTGCTGATGATGATGGTTGTGATGATGCTGATGCTGCTGATGATGATGATGCTAGTGATGATGATGATGATGATGATGATGATGTTGTTGTTGATGTCGATGTTGCTGTTGCTGATGATGGTGACGATGCTGACGACAATGTTATGCTGATGACGATGATGATGATGATGATGATGATTCTAATGATTATGGTGATGTTGATGCTTCTGATGCTGGTGATGCTGGTGGTGGTGATGATGTTGCTGATGATGATGATGATGATGATGATGATGATGATGATGACGGTGATGGTGACGCTGCTGCTGATGATGATGCTGCTGCTGATGATGACGATGATGATGCTGATGATAATGCTTTTGTTGTTGATGCTGTTGCTGGTGATGATGATGATGATGATGATGATGCTGTTGCTAATGAAAATGATGTGATGTTGATGATGATGAAGATGATGATGAAGATGATGATGGTGATGATGATGATGATGCTGATGCTGCTGCAGATGATGATGATGATGATGATGATGATGATGATGATGATGATGATGATGATGATGATGATGATGATGATGATGATGATGATGATGATGATATTGGTGAGACTGAAAATACTGATGATGCTGGTGATGATGATGAATAGTATTCTGAACATTATTATTATTACTATTATTATTACTATTATTATTATTATTATTATTATTATTATTATTGCGCGGGCCTTACGGCCTGTGCCGCCGACCCTGGAGGCCTCGGCTGTCGACGGCAAAGGGGGGGAGAGGGGGGAGGAGGAAGAGGAGGAGGAGGAGATGGAGGAGTAGAAGGGGGGAGGAGGAGCAAGAGGAGGAGGAAAAGGATGAGGAGGAGAAATGGAAAAGGGAGAGAAGGGGGAGGAGGAGTAAGAGGATGGAGCAGGCGTGGACGACGAAAACCATAGAGGAGGAGCAGGGAAAGATGTCTGAGAGGGGTTTGAGACGGCATCAGATGGATCGCAGGGCGTTCCTACACGGCTCAATAATTAGGGGTCTCTGACCCCTAATTATTGAGCCGTAGGGCGGCGTAGGGAAGGGACAGAAGCGACGCCGGGAGGGCGGCGTATCTGACCCAGGACCCCCCCCCCCCCCGGGACCCCCCCCCCCCCGGACCCCCCCCCCCCCCCTGGCGGGGAAGGGAAGAAAGGGAAGGGGCTTCCCTTTGACTCAGAGGCGACGTTGTTCCGTTTCGGTTTGTACCGACACGCTTCAGGAAAAGGTTTTAGGACAGGAGAGAAAGCGACGGGCGCAGTGGAGGAGAAGGCTGTAGGGAAGGGACAGGAGCGACGACGCTACATGGAAACGGGAAAAGGGAACGACGAGGAAGATGGGGCAAACAACAAAGCCTCTTCCACACGCCGACAGGGTCGGCGGATTTTGATTTTGACGGTGATGATGATGAGGAGGAGGAGGAGGAGGAGGAGTTGTAGGAGGATGAGCATGAGGATGAGGAGGAGGGTGCTGATGAGGATTATGATGATGAGGAGGAGGAGGATTACCATGATGATTTGACGCTGCTGCTGCTGATGCTGGTGATGATGATGCTGGTGATGATGATGATGATGATGATGATGATGATGATGATGATGCTGATGATGATGATGATGATGATGATGAGGAGGAGGAGGGGGAGGAGGAGGAGGAGGTTGATGATGATGAGGAGGAGATGATGATCAATTTTGCATCCACCCCGGATCCTGACCCTGGCAGGTCCCCGCAGATCCCCGCAGATCTCCGGAAGTCCATGAGGCCTCCAGAGGTCGCCAGGGGCCCCCACAGAGCCGAAAGCGTGAAACAGTTTTCGCCGCACACATGCAAAACCCGCCTCCGCGATCTTCCAGGTACACAAGCAGCGTGAGGAGGAGACCTTGGAATCGACTTCAGCATTTTGGCAAGCACAATTTCCACGAGATGTTTATTCTCTTTTCAGCGCTATTGGTTTGCTACCTGTCTGTTTGATCTTGGTGGCTTGGCCATTGCGCTCCACCGTTGTCCTGCAGCGCCGCGGCCGTCATGGGCACCGTCGCTGTCGTCGTCGTGACGAGCAGAGCACCCACTTCGGAGCCCTCGCGGCGCGCCCAGTTCTACTCGCCCGCCCTCGCGCCCCGCGACTTCAAGCAACGCATCGGGGACTACACCCAGACCATCTTCCTTCCGAGCTCGACCCAGGCCAGCCCCTGGGAGGGAGGGTGGGCGGGTTGGGAATCTGCAGGTGTGTGGGGGGGAAGATGGAGCAGCAGACGAGGGAGAGGGAAGGGGATGCGGCAGAGGCGGTGGAGGAGGGGAGGGTGGATGGAGGTGGCCGGAGAAGGATCAGAGAGGGGGGAGATGCAGGGGGATGTGGATGGGAGGAGTGGGCGAGGGAGGGAGGCAGGGCTGAGTGGAGGAGGCGGCAGAATAGGAGAAGGAGGGAGGATGGAGGATTGAGTGGGGAGATATAAGGAGAGAGAAGTGAGCGAGGGAGGAGTGAGGGAGGGGTGAGAAAGAGGGAGGGCGAGAAAGCTGAAGGGACGGATGGAGATTAGGGGGGGAGGGCCAGATGTTGCAATACATCCTCTCGTTCCAAGGCCCCTCTTCAGAAGTGTTCGCAAGCAGGTATTGCCACTTCGGCGAGTGCCCGCGGGAGAGGTGAGGGTCCTAGGGGACATCCGCATTGGGAGCCCAAAGCGTCTTCTTGACGTGTGCATCAATGCTTACACACGCACACGCACACGCACCCGCACACGCACACACACACACACGCGCACACGCACACGCACACTCACACGCACACACACACAATTTCACACGCACACATTCACACACATTCACACACATTCGCACACACATTCACACATACTCGTACACATTCATATTCACACTCACACCCAACACACAACACACACCACACATCACACAGCACACAGCACACAACACACACCACACAACACATACCACACACCACACAACACACGACACACACAGCACACACAGCACACACAACAAACACACAACACACACAACACACAACACACAACACATAACATACACGACACAACACACAACACACAACACACTACACGCGGAACACAACACACAACACACCACACAGCACACACCACACACGACTCACACCAGACAACACAACAAACAACAAACAACACGCAACGCACAACTCACACCATACACCATACAGCACACAACACTCACTACACAACGTATAACACACAATTCACACAGCATACACAACACACACCACACACGGCACACAACACACGACACACAACTCACAACACACAACACACAACCCACAGCACTCACAACACACAACACACAACCCACCCACACCACACACCCAACACACACAACATATACAGCACCCACAACACACAACACACAGCACGCACAGAACACACAACACACAGCACACAACACGCACACCACACACAACACACACACAACTTACACACCACATACCACATACAGCGGGCACAACACACAACACACAACACACATAACACACAATGCACGCCACACAACCCACAACACACACCACACAATACACACAACACACAACCCACACAACACACAACGCACAGCACACAACACACACGACACACAGCACACACACCACACAACCCACAGCACACACAACACACAACACACACAACCCACCCACATCACACACAACACACAACACACAGCACCCACAACCCTCAACACACAGCACGCACAGAACACACAACACACAACACACAACACACAACACAACACTCACCACACAGCGTATAACACACAATTCACACAACATACACAACACACACCACACACGGCGCACAACACACGACACACAACTCACAACACACAACGCACAACCCACAGCACTCAGAACACACAACACACAATCCACCCACACCACACACCCAACACACAACACATACAGCACCAACAACACACACAACACACAGCACGCACAGAACACACACAACACACAGCACACAACACGCACACCACACACACACACACAACACACACAACTTACACACCACATACGACATACAGCGGACACAACACACACCATACAACACACATAACACACAATACACGACACACAACCCACAACACACACCACACAATTCACTCAACCTACAACACACAGTACACAACGCACAGCACACAACACACACAACACACAGCACACACACCACACAACCCACAGCACACACAACACACAACACACACAACCCACCCACATCAAACACAACACACAACACACAGCACCCACAACACACAACACACAGCACGCACAGAACACACGCACAACATACAACACACAACACACAACACAGAACACACAACTCACACACCACATACCACATACAGTGCACACAACACACAACACGCAACACACAACTCATAACACATTCAACACACACACCACGCACAACACATAGTATACACAACGCGCACACCACACAACACACACAACCCACAACCCACACAACACACAACACACATCACACAACACACACAACACACAACACACAGCATACAACACACAACACACAGCACACAGAACACACACACACACACTTTTTTGATCTGCGGGGCGAGCGCGAACCTCTTCCGCTAAAAGCTAGGCGGGCTACGCACAGATTTAATCAGGGAGACAGGGTGCAGGAAGGCGGTGCCTCAGGCGGCCGGAGTGGGCGAAACCCAGGGGTGCAGGCGGTGCCGAAGTGGATGTGCAGGAGCAGGAGCGCCGCGGACAGGTACCGGGGGCGAAGTCCCGGAGGGTGAAGGAGAAGGTGTTGCAGTCGATGGCGCATCGCGAACACCAGCCTCAAGTGCTGCAGAGGGGGACGTGCCACTTGACCAGGTCGACGCCCAGGAAGAAGAGGAGCACCACGAAGGCGATGTGCAACGTCACAGAACACACACAACGAACACACACCACAACACACAGTACACACACCACACACAACGCACACAACACACACCACACACAATGCAAACCTCACAACACACCATACACCACAGACAACTCACAACACATAACACACAACACACAGCACACAACTCACAACATACGCACCGCACGCCACACACAACACACAACACACACAATTTACAACACACAACACACAACACACAACCCACAGCACACACAACACACGCAACACACAACACACAACACACAACACACAACACATAACACGCAACACATTCAACACACACAATACACACAACACACACAACACACACGTAGCACACACAACACACGATACACATAACACACAACACGTGCAACACACAACACAACACACAACACGCAACACACAACACACAACACACATACACAGCGCACACACAACACACACAACACACAACACACAGCACACACACCACACAACACACACAACACACACATTCGACCGCACAAGCTAACACATAATCTTGACACCTACATGGGGCTAACCTTCATGCATGCAGCTGGTAGAAGCTTTACAATGCGGATGCGCTGTGCTGAGGCGATCTCGTGAGTTTGACAAGGGGCCTGCGCCCGTCCGTGTAACCGTCGGGTGTGGCACGGGCTGGAGTTTATGAAGCACGGACGCCCCATATGAGACCCACACTCTGAACAAGGAGTGCCTCAGTTTGTATATGTACACTGCAACCCCCAAGCTCCTGGATCATCACGCCCGAGGACGTCTCAGACGGTAGCCACATTTCCAAAACGGCCCGCCCTCCACTCGTGTATCCGGTGGGGGCTTTGAAGGCGAATCTGCGCTGCGCTAATGCGAGAGCAGCATGTTGAACACTCACTGTGCTCAGGTTGTCTGGTCTTCTGTTGCTTGTTAATGCGAATGTGCGCGGCACCCAGACGACAACCTCATTTTGAAAACCACAGGTGCTCAGCCCGTGTAGTCGTTTGCGCATTTTAAAGCAAATTCTGCGCGGGGGCAGCGCGAGAGCCAAAATTTCAACGAGGCCCGCCCTTCACCAGTGCAGCTGTTTGGGGAGTTGGAAAACAGGGTGCACGGCGCTATGGCTTGAACCACGAGATGGCAATTAATTACCCGATGCTTCGTCGGTGTAAAAGGCTTGATACTTCACTGACAAATGTGCGTGGTGTTGAGGCGCAAGCCGTCTCGTTCAAATGGCCATGAGTGCATGCGCCTTTCATCGGTTGCAGTGTTTTTGAAGCCAGTGAGTGGGCGGCGGCAAATCTAGATCCACAATCCGCGTAGCTGTATTTTTGGCTTGTCGGTTACGCTGTGAGACAGTCGCACACTGAACGCCCGGCTCGCTCCACTAACACGTTCGGTGGTGCGATGGGCAGGAGCTACTTATATGGAAGAGGGAGGGAGGAAACCGACGATCGGCTGAGAACATGCGGAGGCGGAGAAGGAGTGACAACGCTCAGGGTATCCCCTTCCCATTGGGCAAGCGGGCACTCCAAATCTGCGGCTGGCACTCCATACTTCACGAGGAGATGTGGAGGAGGAGGGGAAGGAGGAGGATGAGGAGGCGACGAAGCAGGCGGAGGAGGAGGAGGAGGAAGAGTTGGAGCAGGAGGTGGAGGAGGAGGAGGAGGAGGAGGAGGAGGAGGAGGAGGAGGAGCACAACACAGAGGAGAGGAGGATGATGATGATGATGAGGAGGAGGATGAGGAGGGATGAGGAAATATAAGCAGGATGAACCTGTGGAGGGAAGGCGGGGGAGAGCGAAGGCTGGGGGAGACCCACTGTACTGTGACCCATTGCGTTGGTTTCTGTGTATACGCGCGTATACGCGGCGCTCCTCCCTTCTGCGGGCGCCTCTGACCCATAGGCCCCCCGGCCCCTCGCAGCCAGAAAGGCCCCGCGCATAGCGCACTGAGGGAGGGAGGGAGGGAGGGAGGAGCGCGCGCGCGCGAGCCCGCCGTCCCCCTTTCTTAACGCGCGGCACTGGCATGTGTGCACGAGGGGTGACGCATCCACACCAATCAGCCACACCTTGGCAGCTAGCTCGTCCACATCCAGCGTGTCCCGCAGCGCTCACACCAAGAGCTCACCCATCCGCGGGCCCCACGCGGCCTGCAGCGATTCCCGGTGAGCCTCTACGGCGACACAGCAGGAACAGGAGAACGAGGGAGCAGGATGCAATAGCAGGAGGACGAGGATGCAGATACGGATGCGGATGAGGAGGCGGACGAGGACGAGGACGAGGATGATGATGATGATGATGATGATGATGATGATGATGATGATGATGATGATGATGATTATGATGATGATGATGATGATGATGATGATGATGGTGGTGGTGGTGATGATGATGATGATGATGATGATGATGATGATGATGATGATGATGATGATGAGGAGGAGGAGGAGGAGGAGGAGGAGGAGGGGGAGGAGGAGGAAGAGCTGGAGCAGGAGGAGGAGGAGGAGGAGGAGGCGGAGGAAGAGCTGGAGCAGGAGGAGGAGACGGAGGCGGAGGCGGAGGCGAAGGAGGAGGAGGAGGAGGCGGAAGAGGAGGACGAGGAAGAGGAGGAGGAGGAGGAGGACGACGAGGCAAATGAGGATGCGGAGGAAGACGAGTAGCAGGAGGATAAGTATTCAGCTGCGTGCGGTAAGTTCCGCCACTGTGCCATCTCAGCATTCTCGGTGGCGACTGCTCATGGGGATGCGAGAGGCCGTCACGTGCGACACCTCGCGTCCCCAAGCTTGGGAGAGCTGTGGTGATGAGGATGATGAGATTTGGGCCGTCTTGGGGCTTTGTTGGGCAACTGTGGGGCAGTCTTGGAGGTCTCTTGGGCCGTCTCGGGGCCCTCTTGGACGTCTTGGGAGGCTCTCTTCGGCCGTCTTGGGGCCCTCTTGGTCGTATCGGGGGTGGCTTGGGACCGCCGTGGGGCCGTCTTGGCGCCGCCTTGCGTCGTCAAAGAGCCTTCGCACGTCGCCTTGGGTCTTCCCAGAGGCCCTCTCGAGCCGTCTTGGGGCCGCCTGAGGGGCCTGTTGGGCTATCATGGGATCCTCTTGGGCCGTCTTTGGGTCCTCGAGTTGGCCTCCTGGGCCAACTCGGGGCCATCTTCCTGGGCCGTCTTGAGCTGCCGGTGGCCCGAAAATGCGCGAACGCGAACATCCGTCACGGCGTTTGGCTTCTTCTGACCTTGTTGGAGGTCTTCTTGTGGCTCTCTTGCGCCTCTTGGAGGCGCCTTGGGTCGTCTTGGGACATCTTGGGACATCTTGGGGCTTCCTGGCGGCCTCGGTTACCTGTCTGGGCCGTCTTGGGGACTCAGAAGTGCTGGCCCATATTGTGTACAAGGTATCGTGGCGTCGGGAGCGCGAACCCACAGTCTTTTTGTTACGAGGGGTCGTGGTCTCGGGATGTGGGAGCGGTGCATGCGACGACGCGTGTTGAGGAGGGGGGACCTTGAGAATATTACACAACCCAACCATACAGCCCTTAGCAGTCTACCGCGCCTCAACATGGCAGGGGGCACGTTGGCTGATAAGTAGGAATGGTGATGCCATGTTGATGATCCGGGGAGGGGGATAAGGATGACAATGAGGAGAGAAACCAACCAGGAGGACGAGGAGGAGGATGAGAATAATGAGGAGGAGAAGCATGAGGAGGATGGGGAGGAGGAGGACAAGGATGAGGCGGCGGAGGAGGTGTATGAGAAGGAGGATGATGAGATGATGATGATGCTGATGATGATGCTGCTGACGATGATGATGATGCTGCTGATGATGATTAGGATGATGGACATGGTGATGATGATAACGATGATGATGATGATGATGATGATGATGATGATGACGATGATGATGATGATGGTGATGATGCTGCTGCTGCTGATGATATTGATGAAGAAGATGATGATACTGATACTGATGATGATGATGCTGCTGGTGCTGATGCTGATGATGCTGCTGATCTTATCATGATGACGCTGAATATGCTGGCGATGATGACAATAACAGTCTGTTGATGATGAGGATGAAGAGGATGATGAGGATTGTGATTCCGATTATGATAATGATGATTATGATGATGCTGCTGCTGATGATGATGATGATAACGATGATGATGATGATGATGATGATGATGATGATGATGATGATGATGATGATGATGATGATTATGATGACGATGTTGATGATGGTGATGACGACGATGAGTTTGTTAGTGACGACGATGCTGATGACGCATCCGATGATGACGATGACGGCAAGGACGAACATGATGATGATGATGAGGATGATGATGATGACGATGGTGATGATGATGATGATGATGATGATGATCATCATCAAGATGATGAGGAAGATGATGATGATGATGATGGTGATGATGATGATGATGATGATGATGATCATGATGATTACGAGTGGCCTGTTTGAAGTGCAGCTGCTCCTCTGACTCTCGTGCTTGGGTGTCGCGCCTTCCTCTTGGCTGCCGTGCACCGGCTCTGACTCGCAGTGAGTCTAATCCTCGCGAGGTTGTATCAAACATCGATGATGATGATGACGATGATGGTGGTGGTGGAGCATATAACGACGACGATGTCGATGATGCTGATGATTATGCTGCTGCAGATGATGACGATGCTGATGATGGTGATGCTGATGACGATGATGGCGCTGCTGCTGCCGATGATTTTTGTTTGAGATTTTGATAGCAGTCTGCAGACTGGATAGCGGCGTAGGCGACAGCCACCACTCAGGAGTACAGGTGGTTCGAGTTGCACTCCACCTGCTCCATGGCGCCGTCGTCCTTCAGGTTGCCGAATTCTGGGCCAGCTCCCCTCGTTGTCGTCCACGGTTGTGGATGGCCTCCTCTTCTTCACGTACTTCCTGTTCTCGCCCTTCGCCTCTCGGGAGCTCCGCAGTGTTCGCAAGGCGTACTGCATGGCGCGGCCTGGCGGAGCTCCCGTACACGCCTCGGTCATCTTCTTGCTCAGGTGGATTGTCGCTGTCGCACCGCATTCCCAGCAGAAGTACTTCTCCTGACGCAGGCTCCAGTTGATCTGGTGCGTGTGGTGCGTTACCTTGCCCTTCAACACGAGCTCGCTCTTCATTTTGTGGCGGCCGCTCTCGTCTGCTATGACATGCTCCTTCCTTGGGTTTTGTCCACACTGCTTGAGCCACCACCTCGCCGTCATTGGTTTCTGTCGCACTCCGATGGATTGCAGGCACCTCTGGCATGTCCACGTGGCCTTGGATCTTGTCGACTTGTGCGGCGTCTCTTCCAGCAGCTGGTCGAACGTGGTCTTCGGCTTCGCTCTTTTCGCTCTCGCCTTTTTTTTCCTCGTCCTTCTCGCCTCAGGTCATCGGCTTGGCCCTCTCGAACAACTCCATCGTCGCCTGCGTGATCCTGGCTCTCACCAACTGCCCCGTTGCTCGCGCCCAGTTGTAGCAGCCCATCTGCGCCTCCGAGATCTCGTGTTTCACTGCCGCCTCCGCCGCAATCACATCTGCCCCGCTGTTACCTGTCTATGCGGCCATCTCCACGTTCCGCCTGCGGGCCTCCTCCTCTGTCATGTGGCTCTCAATGTGCCTGACCGTGATGTCTCCCTCGCCCCTGATGCTGATCGCCTTCCCGATTCGCTACCAGAGGTCTCCGTGGCCCTTCCTGTAGTTCTTCTCTTTGAACCTCTTCGCTCTCCAGCCTTTCAGCAGGATCTCCGAGTCAGTGTAGAACGTGAAGCTGCCGTTGGTCGACTGCACGGCGTCCAGGAATGCTGTGATCTCCGCCCTGTTGTTCGGCTGCCTTGGCCCCTCCAATGGTCCTGAACATTCTGCCGTGGAGGTCCATTGCCCTTGCTGCCCCTCAATAAGGACCCAGTTCCAGCCACATCTCCTGTACCTGGCGTCATCTCCTCGGGCTCCACCGCTTCCGTCTCCACAGATGATCACCTCGGCGTTGTTCTCGAAGTTGATCTTGCTGTCCTCCGCGTTGTCGTCTATGTGTTCTGCTCTTCCCTTTCACGTGGCTGAAAACTCCGTTGTGCATGCTGGTGGTATCGGCCATGCCTTTGGTGTGATACCTCGTAGCCAGAACGCGGCCCATTCCTCCTTGCCCTGTTGTGCCCTACTGATCAGGTGCTCGGTCTTCCTGTAGGTGCTGTGGTCGCCCTTGCAGCTGCACTGGCCCCAGATGATGTGGAAGTCGTCTGCGATCTCCCCGCACTGGCATCTGTCCGTCACGCTGTCTCCGAACACCTCCCTTCGCCTGCATGGAGACCATATCCCCGAGCATGCCGCTGTCAGGAGGGCCCCGTACGGCTGATGCTTGCCTGCCTTTTTGAGCTTCCTAAGGTGCATCTTCAGGTCGTAGGTGTCTGCTCCGTGTTGAAGGCCGGCCCCGTTGTGGTGCTTAGTGGCGTTCTCCCAGAGCTTCCTCTTCAGGTCCGCCGTGATCGCGTCCAGCAGGTCCGTGGGGTCGTCATTTCCTTCGTCGGATTGTAGTTGCCAACCTTCTCCTTCCGCGTCTGTCCAGAAGTCCGCTGAGGGCGCGTCCCAGTTGATCTCCCAGAGCTGTAGGATGAGCGACGTGATGACCCCTCGCTTCTGCTTCCACCTCCTGTGTGTGTCTGCCTCCAGTAGTCTCCTCGTGATCCTTGGTCATGCTCGACGTACTCCTGCTCGAAGGTCTGGGCGCCCTGCCCATAGGTCGAACCAAGCCTGAATCTGCTTCTTGGGGATGGTGATGCCTGGGTCCGTGCCCTCGATACTGATGAGCGTTGTCATGCATCGTCCTGGCCAGGCTGTTCGCAGTCCTCTTGCGTATCGCCTCCTTGTGCTGGTGATCTCAGTCGGTGCTGCCCCGTACGCCTTGGTGCCGTAGCCTACTTGTGCCATCGGACCCTGCGCTATGACTAGCTTCCTTGTTTTTGCCGCCTTCAGCTTCTTGGCTTTCTCCGCGAATCGTTTGAAGCCTTTCCTTCTACTTGCTGCGTTCGTAGCCCTTCTCGTGCATGTCCTACCTGCTCTGTCGAGTCCTAGGTCTCTGCCTTCTGTAGTTGGCTTGATCGTGATGCCCTTCTCGCTCAGCTTCTTGGCCACCTCCTTCGTGAAGGCGTAGTCGGTGCTAAAGATGACCGGCTTCCCCGCAATGGCCAGGCCTTCTTGCTTCAGCTCCGTCGCCAGCGCCGCCGTCGCTTCTGTGATGACCTCCGCCACCGTGTTCCTGCTGCCGACTGCTTGGAGCCCCATATCGTCTGCACCTTGCTGTTCATGGCCCCGTCCACGTGGTATATCAGCGTCCTAGCGAGGTTGTTGCTCTGCCTCGACCCTGCCAGCAGGCTCCTCCTCGCGTAGATGGGGTTTCTATAGGTGTTCGTCTCATTGAGCATCCTGTGCGTCAAGTGCAGGAGCATCGCCATCGCTGGTACGGGCGGCGGGAACCCATGCTCTCCTGCTCGAAGTGCGACCTTCTCGAAGACCAGCGAGTCGCAGAAGCGCTTGACATCTACCAGCGCGTTCGCGAAGTGGATGCCCAGCTCCTGTGACGTCTCGTCTCCTAGCGCCCTGGCCATCACCTCCCTAAGGCAGGAGTTGCCTGCCACCGCTGCGTCGAAGTCCTCCTCCACGTCCTTTACCCAGTGTCTCATCTGGTCCCTGTTGAGCAACTCCCATGTTCGCGCGAGCCATGTTAGCAGCGCCAGATCTCGATCACTACCTCTTGTGAGCGCCGACTCGTCGATCTTCTCCGCGTCCTTAGGTTGTAGCATAATCAGTGCCTGTAGTGTCTGCCACGGCCACGCGATCTTCTCCTCGCAGCTGTTGTACATGCCGGCGAAGGCTTGTCGCCCTTCCCGGGGTAGCCTGCGTACGTCGTCCATGTTCATGGCGTCTGTGCCCTTTGCCTTTGTTGGGGATACCCTTCATCGCTGCATCGAACTGCTCCAAGGTCCAATGTGGGACTCGGGCTTCCCGTGCTCGTATCCTTAGCTTTGCTAACGTCTCCTTCGCCTTCTCGTTTGTAGTCTTGTGGTGCCACATCTCCTCGAAGTCGATTGCCTTCATGTCAATGCTGTCCTTCGGGCTGATGGCCTTTATTTCTTTTCCGATGTATTCGTCTTCATGTCTTTTCCTTGGTTTGGTTATCTTGTGTGGTGCTCCTAGTGCCTTGTTCTCCGCGTTTGCCACCCATGCTGCGTAGTCTTTAGCTCCTCGTCGAAGGTCTGCCTTCAGTGACTGTTGGCTCTCTATCTTCGCCTTCTTCACCATACCGTCCAGGATGTCTAGGCTTAGGCTGACTTTTTCGATCTCCTTGATCCTCTGCACCCAGATCTTCCTGTGCAGCTTCGCCGTGTTCATTGCCTGCCGTCCTGCTTATGGTACTCCTTCTTGTGCAAGCTCTTGGCAGCATGCCGCCAACTGCTCCTGCTGCTCTTTCGCCTTGTTCTTCCTGGCCAGCTTCGCGTACGTGTCCAGCGCCACCGCCATCCTGTTCCACCAGTTGATCTTCTTAGTGCTGACCTGTACTCGCCGCTGTCCTGATTCCCTCTGCGCCTTCTCCTTGAAGTGATATTCTCCTCCTCGTCCTTGGTATCGCTGCTGATCTGCCTTCGGTATGTCGTATGCCTGAGAGTAGAATTTCTCCATCGTCGAAGCCAGGTGGTCGTAATGTTTCCCAAGCTCTCTTGCTTCCTGCTCCGTGGCCATGTAAGCGGCCGAAGCCTTGATGTACTCAGTGGGCTCGGCGTTCGTTATGTAGCGCATGGCGTGGATCTCGTTCCACGTGTTACTCATGATCTCCGTGAAGATGTCCTTTGTCACGGTGTTGGCCTTCTCGTTAGCCTCTGGCTCGAGTTCGCTGTCGTCAGCTTCGATGGGATTCCACGAGTCGGTGGTGCGCACCTGGCCAGGCGCCTCGGTCCCAGGTCTGGTGCACTGGCCTGATTCCGAGGCAGCTGGAGGGGTGGGGGTTGAGGTTGGCCGGTTTGGCTTCACCTCTACTCCTTCCCCTGATGGTTGTTCTGGCCCTTGGTGCTGTACACGTGGGAGCTCTTCCACTGGGCATTGGTGAATTATCCATCGATCATGTCAGCCTCGGGGCTGTCCATGTCGTTGATGCGGTTGGACGTGTTCCTCCTGGTGCCGTCGTTGTGGTTCCTCTCGGCCTCCTGTTCCTGCATCGTTTGCGAGCCTGCACGTGGGCTCCCCGCCAGAAAGGATCCTGATGCCTCGCCTCTTTGCTCTTGCAGCCCTCCTGCTCACCACCGTGCTAGCATGTCGTCGTCTATCTCGCCATTGCCCACCAACGGGTACGATGTCCAGCCTCAGGGTGATAGCGCCTCCCATCTCGCATTTGCCAGCTTGTCATACTGGTCCTCAGGTGCCTGTGGTGGTGATGGTGGCGCTTCGGCTTCACGTGCTGATCGCTGCTGTTCTCTCTTCCTTCTCTGCGCCTTGCTGCTCGGGTTCGGCCTCCTCTGCTTCGTCAGCTTCGGGTGGCTGAATGGCATCGGCAGCGTCAGCGCCCTGGTGATGTTGAACTCGATTTCCGCCCTGATGCGTAACTGCTGGCCGATGTGGGGCATCCAACTGACGTCCGTCACGTCGCTGGGGTCGATGATGTGCTTGCATGCCGCTGGGCTCGCTAGCGCGAAGTCGATGACGGAGGGCTCCGCGTTAGCACGTCGAGAGTTCCCCTGGTAGCGTGTAAATGCGCGCGTCGACGAGCAGGTCGCAGTACCCCGCATTGGCGAACCTCGGCGGCGTGCGCAGCGTGCTTGTGAACTTCGCCACCTCTGCCAATCGTCTTGCATTGGCCCCTTCTGTGACCCTCTGGTCGCACCGCAAGTAGATCGAGATGAGGACGAGGGTTTAACCCTTGAGGTGCCACGCCATCGCCGTCCAGTCCTCCATGTGAAGGAGCCCCATCTCGTCCTCTCCAGCGCTCGCCTCAGTAGAGTCTCGGCTCTCTGCAGTCGCTCCCGATGTCTGCCGTAAACCGCCAACTCCCTGAAGAACGTGGCCTTGTAGTGCGCCCTTGTCGCAACTGCTACGCCGCCCCGCGAGCCCCCCTCGGACTTGCTGGACTGCGGTGCCGCTGCGAAGCACGTCTTGAGGCCCCACTTGTGTAGTAGCGCCTCCTTATCCTCCATGATCTGCTGCTTCAGGTGTGTCTCCTGCAGCAAGTAGGTGTCAAAACCGCGCCCACTGTGCTTGCTGCCGTCGATCCTAAGGTGCATTCCCTTAAGCCAGGCCTCCACAGTGGGCCCCCACGTAGTGATGTTGCCGATGAAGATTGGCCTGGCGCCCTTGTTGGTCTTTGCGTGGTGGGCGCCAGGCGGTGACCGTCAGGCCGCCGTGGCCTTGGGGTCGACGGCCTCCGTGGCCATCTGGTCCCTCGCCTGCTGCAGCGCCGTCGCCATCAAGTCCTCGTCGTGGTCTTCGCCCCCAGCCAGCGTGTCACGAGCCTCGTCTCGCGGCTCCCGGTGTACTCCTGGGGTGGCTCCTGCTGGTGCTGAAGCCGCTGCCGCCGTCGAAGTTGGTGCCGCTTTCTTCGCCTCGTGCTCGATCTTCCGCTTCTTCGCCTCCTGCCTTTATGGCCATCTTGGTCTGCGCCGCCTGCTGCTTGGCCTTGTTGATGTGTTCCTGGAGCTGCGTGGTGTAGCTCTTGGCGCCCTCCTGCAGGTCCTTCAGCACCTGCATCTTAGCCTCCGCGGCCGCCTGCTTGGCCGCCTCGTCGACCTCGTCGTCCTCGAGCTCCATCTCGTTGTCCAGGTCGATGACCCCCTCCATGGCCAGCTCTCCGGGCGTCTTGAAGATCAGCTGCTGCATGAAGCTCTTCGTCGGCTCCTTCCCCTCGTTGTGTGATCTTCTCGAGCAGCTTCTCCTGTTTGGCGACCTCCATCGCCCGCTCTGCCATCTTGGCCTCGATGCCCTTCAGCATGCTCCTCTGCCTCTTGACCTGCGCGGCCGCGTGCGTGAAGTGCTTGTTCGCAATCCGCAGCGCCTCCGCCGCCTCAGCCAGCCGTTCTGGCTTGGTCCTGGTCTTCTCGGCCTCCTTCGCCGCGTCGAGCTGGTTGCTGAACCTGGCCGCGTCCTCGACTTGTAGCCCGCCTATCTTCTCCGCGGCCTTCGAGAGCTCCTTCGTCTCCGCCTTGCCGCCGCCGCGCTGCGTCTTGTTGCCTCCTCCGCCGTGGTGGTTGTTCCAGTTGTCTGGTCCTTCCACGGCTGCTCGAAGTCCTGCTTGCAGTACCTGCACTTCAGCCCGTCGTACCAGATCTTGTTCGGGATCCAGCCGTGGCACTTCCATGTCTTGCAGCATTTGAGCGACTCCTGCGACTGCTGCCACCTCTTCGGCGCCATGCTGCCGTGGTGTCCAGTCAGGATCTCGTTCGCCTTCGCGATGGAGAGCAACCTGCGCGCGGCCGCTCTGGCGCGCCGCGCCCGCCTGTGCCAGGCGGGTGAGCGGGAGCGGGACCTTCCCGCCTCCGTGGTGATCGCGCGCGCGCCCGCCGCTCGGGTGGCCGCTGGCTGCGCTCTGGGCGCTCGGGCTTGAGCCAAGCGCCTTGCTGCTGCTGATGATGAGGATGATGGTGATTATTATGATGCTGATGGTGAGGATGATGAGGTGGGGATGCCGATTTTGGCCTCTTCGCTGCCCTTCCTTTCTTCCTTCCTCCCCCTCCTCATTGACTGTGGTCTCATGTACCTGGCCGGCCACTTGGGGCCTCTGCCGCTATGGAGTTTCAGGGCGAGTCGAGCGCGTGCCCGCGCTCGTTGCCAGTGGGCGGCAGCGGCTCATCAATGGGATCGGTTATAGCCCCCGTGAGGGGAAGCAGGCTCGATAATCATCGGAGCGGGGGATAAACGATTAGGATGCTGATGATGCTGATGATGATGCTGCTGATGATGATGGTGATGGTGGCGATGCTGAGTGTGAGTGTGATGGTGATGATTGTGTGATGTTATGATGGTGATCGTGCTGGTACTGATTATGCTGATGAGTACGATGATGCGCAAAGGACGCAAGGGACCCCCAGCTGCCCAGAAGGGACGCAAGACGTTTGCAACGCGTCCAAAACTTTCAGCAATTGCTTGGGCCTCGAAGGCGGACCTTAGCACCTGCTGCCCCCCGCCCAGCCAGGCGGCCACAGGGACGGTCGACGGCGACGTGGTCATTTGGGACCCCCCCCGAAGATTGGGTAGGCAGTTGCCTCCCAGCCGGGAGAGGGGGAAGGCGAGGAAGGATGGAGCATCAGAGGAGGAGGTGACAAGGGAGAGGACAAGGAGGAGGAGGCGGTTGATGATGTTGATGATGATGATGATGATGGTGATGGTGATGGTGATGCTGCTGATGATGATGGTGATGCTGACTACGATGACGATAACGATGACGATGATGATGCTGATGATGATGCTAACGATGATTATGCTGATTATGATGCTGATGATGCTGATGACGATGACGATGGTTGTGGTGATGCTCATGATGATGATGGCGGTGGTGATGGTGACGGTGACGGTGCTGGTGATGATGATGGTGATGGTGGTAAAGATGATGATGATGATTCTGATGATGATGATGATGATGATGATGTCGATGCCGATGACGATGGCGATGGCAATGGTGATGATCATGATGATGACGATGATGTTGGCGATGATGATGCTGATGATGATGATGGTGATGATGATGGTACTGATGGTGACGGTGATGGGAAGGATGATGTCGACGATGCCGTTGACGATGACGATTGCGATGAAGATGAAGCTGGTGATGATGATGCGTATGATGATGGTGATGATGATGTTGATGATGATGGTGGTGATTGTAATGGTGATGGTGATTGTGATGATGATGCTGCTGATGATGCTGCTGGTGATGATGACGATGATGATGCTGATGATGATGGTGATGATGACGATAATGATCATGATGATGATGCTGGTGACGATGGCGATGCCGATGATGATGATGCTGCTGGAGATGATGCTGATCCTGATGATGATAGCGATGACGATGGCGAGTGTGATTCTAATGATGATGGCGATGATGATGGTGATGACGATTATGCTGATGATGATGCTGTTTTCGGGGATGGTGATTGTGATGCTGATGATGGCTATTGCGATAACGAGGACGACCATGACGATGATGACGACGATGCTGATGATGATGCTGATGATACCAATGATTAGAATAATGATAATGATGATGCTGAAGACGATGATGGTGATGATGATGATGATGATGATGATGATGATGGTGATGCTTATGATGATGATGATTATGTTCATGACGGCGACAACAATTATGATGATTATATAATGATGCTGCTGATGATGATGACGACGGTGGTGGTGGTGGTCATGGTGGTGGTGGTGTTGATGATGATGATGGTGGTTGTGGTGGTGGTGATGACGATGATTGTGCTGGTGATGCTGATGATGATGCTGTTGATGATGATGGGGATGATGATGATGATGATGATGATGATGATGATGATGATGATGATGATGATGATGATGATGATGATGATGATGATGATGATGATGATGATGATGATGATGATGCTGATGACGTGGATAATGATGGTGATGATGGTGATGATGATGATGATGATGATGATGATGATGATGATGATGATGATGATGATGATGATGACGATGCTGATGATGATGATGAGGAGGAGGAGGAGGAATGACGATGATGATGATGCTGATGATGATGATGATGATGAGGAGGAGGAGAAGGAGGAGGAGGAGGAGCAGGAGGAGGAGAACGAGGAAGAGATGGAGGGTGAAGAGAGGGAAGACGGGAGGGAGAAACGGAGGAGGAGGAGGAGGAGGGGGAGGAAGAGGAGGCGGAGGAGGAAGTGGGGGAAGAAGTGGGACAGGAGGGGAGAGGATGGGGCGGTAGGAGGGAGGTGGCGACCCAGGGCAGTCGGATAACCTCGTGCCTTGGTGCGGTCCAACGAATTCACCGCGATCCAGAGTTGCCGGGGCTGGTCGCGGATAGTCGCGTCCAGCCGATTTCTGGTGATCCAGGACAAGCGGTCACTCGAGGCAGCTCTGAGTCAGTCGGGGCTGTTGAGGGCTCAGTCGCCGTGTGCGAAATTTCGGAAGATCCAGGGCAGGCAGCCAGTCGGGGCTAATCGCGGCCACTGAACTTTCTTGTTCTCCAGGCCACTTGCGGCCAGCTTGGGCCAGTGACGGCCAACAGGATTCCTGGCGATCCAGGGCAAGCATTCAGTCGGTCGCAAGTCGTGGCCGAGTTCCAGGCGGTCCATGGTCAGCGACAGCATGATTCGGAGCTAGTCGCTGCAAGCCGAATTCCTGGCGATCCAGGGCCGTCATGGGTTCGTCGGTATTCATAGCAGCCAACCTGCTTCCTGGCGATTCACGCATGCTTCCATGCGGTCAATTGGGGCTAGTCGGAAGTTGTCATGGCCAGCCAAAGTTCTGGTGATCTAGGGTGAGCACGTTCCAGGTGTCGTCGGGGGCACTCGCGGCTGGCGATGCAAGGCAAGCGCTCAGCTGGCGTCAATCGGGGCTACTGGTGGGGTAGACGCGGCGCACAGAATGTCCAGAGATCCAGGGCACGCGGTCAGTTTGGGGACCTGGTGAATTCCGAGCGATTCTGTATCTCGTGGCCTTCGGCCCATCCCACCACCGCGGCTGGGATGTGGACAAGAGGTCCCTTAGAGGCATCTTGGGGTCTCTTGGGAGGCCTCTTGGGGGCCTCTTGGAAGCCTCTCAGGGGCTTCTTGGGGACCTCTTGCAAGCCTCTTAGGGGCTTCTTGGGAGCCTCTTGGTGGTCTTTTGGGGCTGCCTGTGGACTCTTGAGGGCCTCTAGGGGCTTGTCGTGGGCCTCATGGGGCCTGCTGGCGGCCTCGGGGGGCCGTCTTGGGGGAAATGGCTCGACATGTCACTTCGGGTGCCCCCCCACCCCCCTTCTTGGGCCCCTCTTGGGGTTAGGCCCTCTTCGGGGTCCTCGGGGGTCATCGGGCGGTGTTCGGGGCCTCTTAGGCCGAGAAATGCCAGAACCATGTGAAAGCCTGGCTAGGATTCGGATGATTTTGACCTCCTGTGCCAGCCCGCAGGGCTTTTATGACGGCCCAAGACGCGTCTAAGATGGCTTCAGGGCGGGTCCTAGGTGGCCACCATGGGCCATGTTGGACGTATGGACTCCCAACGACGTTCCCGAGGCCTCGCGAAAAGTCATGCGAGAAGCCCCAGGAAGCGCTCAGAAGCGCCACGATGCACCCAGAAGTGCCAACAACATCCAGGAATCCTAGAAAGAGTTTTTGCAATCCTCAATCCACATAGCTCGAAGGGACTTGATTACACTCTACTCGGTGCCTGGCGGGACCGTTGTGGATTCAGCGCGGCCAACGGAATATCTGGCGATCCAGGGCCAGCGGCCGAGTGGCAAGCCTGGACGCGGCCCATGGATTGCTCGATGATCCACGACAAGCAGCCAGCCGGGGCTGTTTGGGTTCACTCGCCGCCAACGGGACTGACGGGGAGCCAGGGTTAAGTGGCTACCTGGTGCCAGTCGAGACCAATTTAGACGCGGTCACCCAGCTACCTTACGGTGCAGAGCAGCCCAGGCTAGTAGGGATTAGTTGCGACCATTGAAAGTCCTGGTGGTCTAGAGCAAGCTGCCAAGTGTTTAGTCAAGTGGCCATTTCGGATTTAGAGCTACTCGGGTCTAGTTGCGGCCAGTACAATTCACAGGTGTCCAGGGTAGATCAGACCCTCTCACATCAAGCACTCTTTGCCGAGTTTTCTTGACATTGTTTTTAAGAGAATCAGCCCTCAGCTTTTCGAGGTCGGAGTGGGTCGGGGTCCTGCCGCTGGCGCAGGTCACGCCACGCGCACTTGCCTGGCCTCTCCGCGATATCTGCAAGCGGCGGTTTTGTAGTGCAGCTCTTTGCAGAACGAAGGGGTACCACGGACTGTGGCCGCGAAGCTGAAGTCCATGTTCCATGTTGACTTTGCGATTCACTAGAATGCCCCACACATCGTTTGGAAAGCATTCCAAATGAGCTCCACTGCTTTGTGCTTACTTCCCACCTTCTCTTCGAACTAGGGTCGAGGCAGCCGTTACGCAAATGTTTGGTAGCAGTCGCGCTTGGTAGCAGTCCCGTGCCAATTTCTGTCTCGATGCCCACACTTCAGCACTTCAGCACATCACTCGATGCACCGGTAGAATGTACTGGAGTTGCCAAGGATGGTGATCAAGATGGGTATTCTTCTTTGTGGTGAGAGGGACCTGATCAGTCTGATTATGGGACATCGCTTAGTCGACAGGGTGAAACATTCAGTGCCACCGAGGACCTTTCGCTGATCGTCGACGGCTTGACAAGACCAGATGAGAGGAGACGGGATGGTGTGACTTGCTTCTCTTTTCTTGCGTCCAGATTATGCGCATGTTCCTGGCATTGGAATGCTGTGTTCCCGTGGCATGGTGCAGTTGTAGACGCTGGTGCGTACTAGCACCACGACTGGGACAGCTCTTGAGGCCCACTGTTCAGGAGCTAGGGAGGAGTCGAGGGGTTAGTAATATGATCGTGGCCATCTCACTCGCAGGAGCTGCCATTGAACTAACGAACGACGATGATGATGCGCAACAGCATGCATGCCTACTACGGCGTTGACCAATTCAGGATCCCCGCGACATCCACTGTTATAGCGATGACGAGTATCAGAACGCGGATCACGATCGTGGGCAGGCGAAGGACTCGGAGCAGAGGATCAGGAGCAGGAGGAGGAATATGAGGAGTGTGCGGAGGGATGGTGGTAAACGGGACGTTCAAACATGTCGGTGTGTGTGTGTGTATCCTTGTATACCTGTATAAGTTTATATGGCCAAGATGATTGATCATGTTGCACGTCAAAAGCATTAATAGGACCATCAGGAGGCGATGGGGGGACACTATGAGACGGAGGAGGAGGAGGACACAGGATGAGGAGGAGCGGAGGAGAGGCGTCGTGATGAGGAGGATCAGGGGAGGAGGGGCTATGGCGATGAGGACGAGGGATTTGAGTATGAGCATGTGGGCGTGGGTCTTAGGAGGCCAGTCCAATGGCCTAAGTTCGTCGAGCTAACGTTGCCACAGGCATCCCGCTCGGCCCACAAGCCCCCGCAGCCCTAAAGAAGAATGTCCCCCCCCCGACCACACCCCGCAGAGAGCGCACGAGAGGCCGTGTCCACCGTGGGGCCTGGGGTCGTGACTACAGACGACGGACCCCCTGCATCGGGTCAGAGAAGCGTCGGGCGACTCGCCCATTTGTGTATAATGCGGCCGCGTACTCAGCGCAAGCTTGGCCGGCTTTGCCCTGGGGCTCTTGCATTCGGCGCCTCGGCCGTCGCGGCCAGTCTCGAGCCTCGGCCTTCTACACGCTGCAGACCTGTATGGAAACGGCCGCGACATTTCGACGCCGCAGTCAGCAAAGCCCGGCGAGGGGAGCGGTGGCGCCAGCCCCGTGCGATTCGCCTAACTCCTGTGCTCTACGCGCGCAAGTGTCGGGGTGAAGTTTGAGCAGGTGGTAGTGTAGGCCAGTGGTGTCAGAAGCCTCGTCCTTGCGTCCAGCATATCAGAGCGATGTCGACAGTATCCACTTTCTGAAGCGAAGCCTCAACCTGCTCGCAGCGGCTACCGTAAGATAGCTTTCAGGGCGAAAAGCAGCGAAGACATGGTCCCAGAGCATTACAATGCAGTAGGGTTTTTGGCTTCTCAGGCGAAGGTCTGGCCTTGTCCTTGCCCATGTCGGTCTGACAGCGACGGCGCAGGAAGTGCTCACCAATGGCCAGTGGCACCATCGCCGTCATCTTGTCCCTATGCCACCGTCATCTGCATGAAGACCAGCGCTGCCGCAGGACCAGCCAGCAGACAACATTGATTTTCCTTGTATGGGCGGCGATCTCACATGCTTGCGCTTCTGTCGCCCACAAGGGAGCCCACTCGAACAATCGCGTTTGTCCCCAATAGGCCCACAGGTGGATGTTCGACGGCACGACCGGGTTGCGCAATGAGTTTATGGCGGTTTCGAGGGTTCGCCGAATTCGGTCGATTGTTGAATTCCTCGCAACAGCCTTCCTCCCAGAGCACCCAGCCGAGCAGGCGGGAGGTGCCGAGTGCGAAGAACCCACGCGGCCCGTGGGTTCGAGACGTTATCCTCCGTACCCTTGTCCTTGTTCGCGGAGTGTGCTGCCGCGTCGCTTCGCACACGGCCGCGATCATGCCCCGCGTTTCCCCGTTCTCCATGCTCAAGGTGCTGACGCCTCGATCTCGGTCACCGCGCTCGGATACACCTGGCTGGAACTTCAATTACCGCATGCGAGGCTGACTTTGTCAAGCTCCGCCCTCGCGGCCGTCCTGCTGGCATCCGCAGGACCGAGCCCGCGCCTCACCAGCCACGTGCGCCCCGGGCCTCCGGCGACAAGGACGGCGCTCCCGTGCAGCGCGTGCGACGCTTGTACCAGACCGCACGAGGCTGCTTGGAGCGCCGCGTCTCGGCAGGCAGGCAAAAGGCGAGCAGGTTCGTGAGGGTGGCTAGTAGGCGTCATATGGCCCATGACTGATTCCATGCGAGCGCGCGCGAGTCCCCCAGGTGTCGGCGTGTGCATGCTTCGTCCCGTGGTGCCGAGCTTCTGTTACACAGGAGTGTTGGTGCCCCTCCTGCCTGCTGCTTTCAGTATGGCCCTGGGGAGCACCTGGCGGCTAGTGACTAACACTACGCACCAAAAGCACAATGCATGAGTCCACGAGAGCTACCCGAAAAATATGGCCGACGATGCAGCAAGAAACGAGCCGTGTGAATAAATGCCACGGGGCCAAACAGACACCTGATATCCGCACATCAGCCTAGCGGGGAGGGCGAGGAAGAGGAGTCGGGTTTCTCAAGTTGACGCTGCTGCGCAGCTTTGCTAAGGTGTCTATGTGCTCGTGGATGCGGTTGCCTGGAAAATCGTTGGAAAATGATGCCTTCGCGTGCACCGTGCCTCTGTGGAGCCTATTTGGTACAATCGATGGGATGCACACTGTGCGGTGCGACCTACGGGGTGCAATTAGCCAGGTCAATAATGAGTTGTCAGCTCCACTGCTTGCGCAAACAGCCCATCCTCCCACCCGCAACTTGTTTGGCAAAATCCATGCGGCCACGGTTACGGTTGCCGATTGGAATTTGCTAGCGCGTCTCTACGGCCGCATTGGTGCGCGCACGCTCCCGCGCAGATCGGCCAGCTGGTTTGGCACAACCTTCGGAGGTGCATCTCAAAGGCCGTGCTGGCGCGTGGGCGCTGCAGTGCGGGCCGGTGACTCGGGCGGGTCTTGATGACGTCGACAGCGGCGGCAACCGCGTGAGAATGGCGACGGTGGTGGCGATGCTGACGGCAAGACCAATGACGGCGCCAATGCTGGTGACGACCATGACGATGATGATTTCCATGTGCCGGTGATGAAGGTGATCGTGCTGATAATGGCGGCAATGGCAGCGATTGGCGATGACGATAACAGCGGTGATGCGAAGGCGCTGATGAGGATGCTGAGGGAGTGTGCGCGCACAGAAATTCAAGAATTCTGGCTGACCTTTTGGTTGAAACATGTTTTTTTCGTTGTCATATGTTTTGAACATTCCTACGTTGCTATGCTTCGAAACTAGTGGTTGAGGACGAATTTCGACGCGCGCGTGGCGGCGCGCGCAGTTGGCCTGCATGGTATTTTTTGGTAATGGGTCGTGCACTGAACGCATATTAGTTCAACGCGGATGCACCGCGTGGTGCGATGAGCATGCAGGTTTTGGACGATATTGAACGTCACATGGTTTTCTTATGATTGCAGCAATTTCGCGCGGGCAGAAGATTTGCAAGACGTTCGATGGAACACCGATGGTTGTTTTACGGTCTTTATGCTGAGCTTCTCGCAGCACTGATGCGTCTCGTATGTTTCCGACATGTGAGGATGCGCGCGGATTCTTTGGTATTTTTGCCAATGGGTTCTTGAAATATGATGTTCTCGAGATAAGCGAATGTGCGTGCATAGTATTATTTGATAAGGGTTACAATGCAGGGTGATGACATCGACGATGACGATGGTGCTGCTGATGGTGGTGATGATGATGACGAGGACGACGGCAGTCATGACGCTGGCGACGATGATACCGAATCGGCTCAGTAGGGTGATGAGGAATTGTACGCCCTCAGAGTTTCATAATTCGTGGCATACCTTTGTCGAAACACATTTTATGTTTAGTATGTGTTGAACACCTCTTCCTTGAACTGCTTAGAACACCAATGGACCTGTAAGGATTTCGACGTGCGCGTGCGGAGAGGCGCGCGTGTGGCCCGCATTGTAGTATATGATGGAGTTGGCTGGTGCGCGATCGGTGTTCAACGCTTTCGACGAGCGCGCGTGTGGCTTGCACGCTCTCGCTTGACGTAATGGCTAAGCACGTATGGTACGCATGGTTTCAGCGAGCGCGCGCGCAGAACACTGGCATGTTTGGCTGATGCAGCTAGCGGTTGTGAGCAACTGTTGAATGACCATGTCTTGCAGCTTGTAGAAAGTCACTGGCCTTTACATTAATTTGATATGCGCGCGGGGCGCTGCGCACGTGTGCCCCGCATGTTCTTGTCGTTTTCGAGGGGCTCTCAGAGAAACCATTTTTATGTCAACGCATGTGCACTGAATAATATGACTTGCCCCGGATGCGGGGGTCGATATCAGGCCTGGCTGGCATGCTCTTCCTAGATAACTACGATGAACGACCATGCAGGACAGTTATGGAAAACAAGACGCGGATGGGAGAGGTTAACCCTGGCTTCGGTGGGGGGTGGGTGGATGGGTGGGTGGGTTGGGTGGGTGGGTGGACAGTGGGGTGGGGGGGGGCTCGTGTCTCATCTCTGCTAAGAGAAGGAATCGATGTGGGGCTATATCTCGATATCTATATATATATATATATGTATATCACATACATATGCGTGTCTGTCTGTCTGTCTGTCTGTCTGTCTGTCTGTCTGGATGGATGGATGTATGTATGTATGTACGTACGTACGTATGTACGTATGTATGTATATATGTATGTATGTATGTATGTATGTATGTATGTATGTATGTATGTATGTATGTATGTATGTATGTATGTATGTATGTATGTGTGTATGCATGCATGCATGCATGCATGCATGCATGCATGCATGTATGCATGTATGTATGTATGTATGTATGCATGCATGCATGCATGCATGCATGCATGCATGCATGCATGCATGCATGCATGCATGTATGTATGTATGTATGTATATGTATGTATGTATGTATATGTATGTATGTATGTATGTATGTATGTATGTATGTATGTATGTATGTATGTATGT